TCTGGAGGCAAGCTGTTCCACTGGTTAATTCTCCTCACTGTCACAAAGTTTCTCCTTAATTCCACATTGCTCCTCTCTTTGATCAGTTTCCAACCATTGTTTCTCATCCTTCCCTCTGGTGCTTTGGTGAACGTGACCCCCTCTTCCTTGTGGCAGCCCCTCAGATACTGGAATACTGCTATCATGTCTCCCTTGTTTCTTCTTTTCTTTAGACTAGCCAAATCCAAAGTCCCATAGCCATTCTTCGTATGTTTTAGTCTCCAGGCCTTTGATCATCTTCGTTGCTCTTCTCTGATTTTTTTTTCCCAAACTCTCAACATCTTTTTTGTGACATAGTGACCAAAATTGGCTGCCGTATTCCAGGTGTGGTCTTACTAGGGATTTTATAAAGCGGTACTAATACCTCGCGTGATCTTGATTTGGTAGAAAAAGAAAAAAAAACTATTTGCACTATTAATTGCCTTGTATTATTGGTCACCCTTTTAAAACTATTTTTAGTGACGTTCTAATTTTTCTGGGTTTTTTTCTTTCTCTCCCCCCCTTTTTTCCCATTCTTGTTAGTATTATTTAGTTTTTTTTCAACAGTGTAATGTTTGCTTTATGAGACCCAGTCTGGTATAAAATTTAAAGCAGCAGGCTAAAAACTGGGAGACTGTGAGTTCTAGTCCCATCTTAGGCACAAAGACAGCTGGGTGACTTTGGGCCTGTCACTATTTCTCAGCTCCAGAAAGAGGTCCAGAACGATGCCTTCCTGCACATCCTGGTTTCTTAAAGGGAGGCTTTTCCTGAAGGTTAAGGCTTATGGCAAATTATTAGCAATACATTTGAAAAAGGCATGTTCGTTAGCCAGTGCAACAGTGCTACAAAATCCATATTGCAAGAACTATAAAGTCCATACTGGATGGCCCTCAAGAGCAAAAATCTTGCCAAGGAAAACTTCAGGTGGAACAACTCACACACACACACACACCCCAGAAGTTGTGAATGCTCCAATACTGAAAGTTTTTAGGAAGAGATTGGACAGCCATTTGTATAAAATGGTATATGGTTAACTGCTTGAGCAGGGGGTTGGACTAGAAGACCTCCAAGGTTCCTTCCAGCTTCTATTCTATTCTATTCTATTCTATTCTATTCTATTCTATTCCATTCCATTCCATTATTCTATTCTGTTCTGTTCTGTTGTTCTGTTCCGCTCCGTTCCGTTCCATTCCATTCCATTCCATTCTGTTCTATTCCATTCCATTCCATTCTATTCTATTCTATTCCATTCCATTATTCTATTCTGTTCTGTTGTTCTGTTCTGTTCTGTTCCACTCCGTTCCGTTCCATTCCATTCCATTCCATTCCATTCTGTTCCATTCCATTCCATTCCATTCCATTCTATTATTCTATTCTATTCTATTCTATTCTATTCTATTCTATTCTATTCTATTCTATTCTATTCTATTCTATTCTATTCTATTCTATTCTATTCTATTATTCTATTCCATTCCATTCTATTATTCTATTCTATTCTATTCTATTCTATTCTATTCCATTCCATTCCATTCCATTCCATTCCATTCCATTCTATTATTCTATTCTATTCTATTCTATTCTATTCTATTCCATTCCATTCCATTCTATTATTCTATTCTGTTCTGTTCCGTTCTGTTCCATTCCATTCTACTCTATTCTATTCTAATTTTACTTTTTCAGGTAGTCACTAGGGGTCAGTGCTGACTTGAAGGCACACCCCCCAAAAAGTTTTCTTTAATAGTTTAAAAAATCCTAGCCTTAGAAAATTCAGTTATGATCTACTTCCTGATGAGCATGATTAAATCTGTTTGATTGCCTCAGCTTTGGCCTTCTTTTATGAGGCAATCCTGTGGATATTCAGTCTCCAGAAGACTCTCTTGCTGGCTAGATACAGCTTTGCAACCTTGCTTGGTGCTTGGCTTAAGGCCTTCCATTTTTACTAGTACCTTTGTTCATCTTCTTGTTCAGTCTCTTTATTTAACAGAATAACAGAATAAGATTTGGAATGGATCTTGGAGGTTTTATAGTCCAGGGCTTTTCAACCTTTTCACCCATTGTACCACTTTTAGGATATGGCAACATCCGAGTAGCACCAGTTGCCTAGCAAGGTGTCAAAAACGTGATGACCCCCCCCCCCAAAAAGGAAAAAAGTGAGGAAGTACTGATAGTCCTCAACTTACAACAGTTTGTTTGATGGCTATTCGAAGTTATGATAGCACTGAAAAAAGTGCCGAGCAAGACACCTGCCTGCCCGCCCGGCCACGCTCTTCCTCCTGTCCGAGGTTTTCATTGTTGTGAGCCTTTCTGTTGAGGATTGGCAGCGGGGGTGGGGGGGTGTTTGGTTTTTATCCCCCCCGTCTGCTGGGCGGTTGCAGCAGGTTTTGGTCACTTCACATGACCCTGGGACACTGTGACCGTCATAAATGTGAATCGGTTGCCAAGCATCTGAATGTAAATCACAAGACCCTGGAGATGCTGCTACATTCCAGCTGATTGGTGCTTTTTCTGGGCTCAGCAGAAGCGCCAGGACCAGCGCCGAGCTCCAGCTGGATCCTGGTGCTGATCCTGGCGCTTCCGCTGAGCCCTGACAGCCCTGCAGCTCCAGCTGTCTCTCGCTCAGGCTTGTGCGGTGCTGCCACCGGTTCAGCTCATTCCCCTCCCCTGCTACCACTTTTCTAGGATGGTCGCATACCACCTGCCAGGTGCCAATGTACCACAGGTGGTACCCGTACCACTGGTTGAAAAGCCTTGTTCTAGTCCCACCCCCTCCTGCTCAAACAGGAAACCCTATACCAGGGGTAGGCAACCTCGGCTCTTTTATGACTCATAGACTTCAACTCCCAGAATCCTGGAATTCTGGGAGTTGAAGTCCATGGGTCATAAAAGAGCCGAGGTTGCCTACCCCTGCCCTGTACCATTCTGGAAAATGGTTGTCCAGTCTCTTCTTAAAAACCTCCAGAGTTGGAGCACCCACAACTTCTGGAGGCACTGATTTTTTCTGTCAGGAATTTTCTCCTTAATTCTATTTCGGTTCTCCCCTTATTTTCCATCCATTGCTTCTTGTCCTGTCTTTGGGTGCTTTGGAGAATAGCTTCATCCCCCTCTTCTTTGTGGCAGCCCCTCAGATATTGGAACACTGCTATCACGTCAACCCTAGTCCTTCTTTTCATTAACTCCGGCTCACCAAAAATGATATGCAGGTTCTGAGGTTTTGCTTGATAAAAAAAAATACAGAAAACCAGAAGTTGCCTTCAAGAGTTACGTATTTATTCAGCTGAACAAAGTCGGGCTTCTCTAAAAAGAGAAAAAGGCCCAAATATCAGAAAAGCCTTTATTTTTATACCTACTTTGATTACATAAGCAATTCACCCAGCAAAGCTGACACACATAAGATAAAGACTTCACCCATTAAGGCTGGCACACTGTAGATAAGAAGGAAGAAAGCAGAAGAAGAACCATATGTTCCCGGGTGGGTTAGAATATTGGGTGTTTCCTTTGCTGTCCTTTCATGACCTTGCATTCATGGGCTATTTCCGCTGCAGAAACACTTGAAAGAGCCACGCTGCGTCCTGCCACGAGCAGCAAAAACGGCGCAAAGCACCATGCGGCGTCCTGCCGGGAGGAGTGGAAATGGCACAAAGCACAAGGCGGCCTCCTGCCATGAGTAGTGGCAACGGCGCAATGGGCCACATGGCGCCCGGCTGCAAGTGGCAGCCAGCGGCCGCAGAAGTCAAGCAGCAGCACGACAGGTATCGGGATGTGGGAGGCCTGGCTGTGGGGGTCCTAAGGCAGTGGTGGCGAATCTATGGCACAGGTGCCAGAGGTGGCACTCAGAGCCCTCTCTGTGGGCACGCGTGCAGTTGCCCCAGTCCTAGGCCTTCAGCTGGGTTTTATAAAACCTTTTCGCTTGAGGCCTTCGCCGCCATGTGCAAAAATAATTAAAAAAAAGGTTAAATCAGTCAATTTCAACTTCTCACGGGAAAAAAAAATCTTGGAAAGTTGGAATTGATTGATTGAACTTTTTAGTCCCACCCAGTCTGCCGTTACCACCGCAGCCATGCCCAGCCAATGGGCCACAGCCACCCGGCACCCAACGATGCATCAGTGGGTTTTGGGTTGCCATTTGGGCACTCAGTCTCTAAAAGGTTCGCCATCACTGTCCTAAGGTATGACATCCTCCGAAATTAAGACCTCGTGCCTCTTTTGGAGGCAAAAATATATATAATACCAGGTCTTAATTTTGGGGAAACACAGTACTAATATTCAAACACATTTCAACCTCTCTAAAAATATGCTCATATTTTGCCATTTGTGGTCAAAGAATAGAGATCGGAAAGTTTCAGCCACCCACAACAAAGCAATCCAAAGTTACAGATTACTTAAAGATAGCAAAATAAAAGCACAGCTTTCTATCTTTGTTTTTTCATCAAAAAAATAAAATAAAATAAAGATACTCCATGCTTCCTTATATTTTAGCTTGCCTCCAGCAACTTTGGGGCTGCCACAAAGAAGAGGGAGTCAAGCTATTTTCCAAGGCGCCTGAAGGCAGGACAAGAAGCAACGGATGGAAACTAATCAAGGAGAGAAGCAACCTAGAACTAAGGAGAAACTTCCTGACAGTGAGAACAATTAACCAGTGGAACAACCTACCTCCAGAAGCCATGAATGCTCCAACACTGGAAGTTTTTAAGAAGAGACTGGACAGCCATTTGTCTGAAATGGTATAGGGTTTCCTGCCTGAGCAGGGGTTGGACTAGATGACCTCCAAGGTCCCTTCCAACTTTATTATTATTATTATTATTATTTTGGATCATCGCACAGTCAGCCAGATGTTCAGACTGGATTTGGCATTTTGTCTACCTATCGAGTCCTTACCCAGGACCTGGGATAGGCAGATGTGGATGTTTGATGGTATTACAGATATCGTCGCAGGATGGAAGCAGTTCCTAGTAAGGCCGCCTTTTGCAATTGACTAATAGCGAATTTGTCAATGCCAATTATTTTTATTATTATTATTATTATTATTATCCTCTTCCTTGTTTAACAATAAAAAGTCTCAAAAATGGTGCAGAGCTTCAAAATGTAGTAACAGGCTGTGACTAGAAAGAGCCTCTTTTAGCTAATACAGATAATAATCTCATAAATTAAAAAATAAATGGCACAACTTTATCATTTGTCTGAAAAATAAATTCCAAAGCGCATAAATTAATAAATTAATTTATAAATTAATAAATAAATTCCAAAACAAAGGGATTGCAGCCCCATCCCTCCAGCTGGATGGCTCACCCACACCTCCAAAGCACAGCTCCTGAAACTTCTTGCAAACCCTTGCTGTATGGAGAATCGTGTGGGGAGGATTCTAGGACTCTCCCTATCCCAGGAGAGTCATATAAAGTAAAGGAATCCAAGTTCCTTCCATTAGTAAGCTGGGGAAAAAAAACCCCGACAATCCAGAGAGAGACGAGCCTTCCTGGGCTTGTCATCCATTGGCCATGTTCACCGGAGGTCCGGTGCCCGCTATGAACTGGAGCTCACGTGTGAAGAGGACAAATCACTCACTCGATGTTGCTCTGTAGTCTTCTTGACGTCGCTCTGCAAGGACAAAAACCAGTGAAAGCTCAAAAGAAGCCACACCAGAGATCATCCAGTCTCTCCCCCTTTATGCAGGAGAGCCCCAAGGAGAGGTTTTCACGCTTGTTTAGCTACAATGTCTCCTGGCTACTCCTATGAACAGTCACGGGAGGCTCTTCAGACTTCACCGCCCTGATCTAGCCCGAGAGAGAGAGCTGCTGTCGTGGTTCTGACAGATGAGACCAGCAAAAAGAACTTCAAGGCGAAATGAATTTCCTTAAATAACGTATGTATTTGGCTACATAGTATCGGCACTAACAAAGGGGAACCCAAGACTGAAATCCCCTCCCCCAGATTACATTGTTGCAAAGTTGAAATTTTCCACCTCAGCAAGATGTTATATATCGCATTACTATGTTGCTCGGGCTGCTCGCCAAAATGCAATCAGCAATGACCTTGGTTCCCACAGAACAATGTATTGTTATGGCTAAGTCAGTGGTGGCGAACCTGTGGCACGTGTGCCAGAGGCGGCACTCACAGCCCTCTCGATGGGCATGCGTGCGTCGCTCCAGCCCCGCCCCAGCCCCGCCTCCCCCCACAGCCTCCTCACCAGCAACCCCCCTGGAAGAGAGTCACCTCCGGGTGCAGCCCGCACGGAGCAGCGCAGTCAAACACAGCCGAGCAGCAGGACAAGACTCCACCCTCGTGCCCCGTCATGTGCAGATGATGCTGCGGGGCGTGGATGGAGGGCGTGGCCATGGCGCTACAGGGCCGCCTGGGCGATCTGCTGCGGTGGGCCGTGGAGGCAATGGGTGGCCCTGCAGGAGGGGCAGGGGCGGGGGTGGGCAGGGGCAGAGTGGACCGACCAGGGGGCAAAGCAGGGCAGTTTTGGGGCACTCAGTGTCTAAAAGGTTTGCCATCACTGGGCTAAGTCAAAAACCCACTCCTCCCTCCTCCCAATTATGTGGCATCTGAAAACGAAGAGAACATGGCTTCAGCTAAATCCGTTTGCAGTGTTGACGGCTGCTTCCTCTTGAGATGGATGGAGGGGAAAGGGAGGTGGCGCAGCAGTTAGAGTGCAGTACTGCAGGCCACTTTAGCTGACTGTGTTCAGCAGGTCAGCGGTTCAAATCTCACCGGCTCAAGGTTGACTCAGCCTTCCATCCTTCCGAGGTAGGTAAAATGAGGACCCAGATTGTTGGGGGGCAATGTAAATATATATATATAGACATTGCTTACTGGTGTACACCGCTTAGAGAGTGCTTGCACTTAAAGCGGTATATAAGTCTCATAAAATAAGTAAATAAATAAATAAACAGCAGCTGGGAGAGGAGGAAGATTTGCACTCAAATCCTTCTCCGCTGCTCTTTGGCCAAAACCTCTCTCTCTCTTTTTTTTTTTTTAAACTGGGAATGGTGCTTTCCATATGATTTTAAAGCAGGACATACAGTACTGTATAAAGGAAAATTATTGGCACATTTCCCTGCTTCTTCCACTAAGTGTAATCTCTTAGAATGAAAAACAGCCACCAAACACTGTTCTTAATGTGTAGGGCAAGATTGGGTAAGAATCTCAGGTATCTTGGTTGAAAGGTTTGGTCAGTCTGAAGTTGCTCAGGTGACAAGTCTCTGGCATGGGATTGCAAACCGGGGAACTATTCCTTGAGGCTATTTCTGAATGGGTTTAGTGCACTTTTGAAAATGTGCTAAACCAGTGGTTCTCAACCTTTTTAATGCTGCGACCCCCAACCGGACGTAAGTCAAAGACTACTCAACCAGTCGTAAGTCTATCTATCTATCTATCTATCTATCTATCTATCTATCTATCTATCTATCTATCTATCTATCTATCTATCTATCTAATCATCTATCTATATCATCTATCTATCATCATTCTATCTATCTATCTATCATCTATCTATCTATCTATCTATCTATCTATCTATCTATCTTAATCTGTCTATCCTAATCAATCTAATCTGTCTAATCTATCATCTCTATTTCTCTCTCTAGCTCTAGCGCTCTCTCTAGTGTGTCTCTTTTTCTATTTCTCTACAATATTTATCTCTAGCATGCGCTCTCTGTCTGTCTCTATCTCTATTTCTCTATTGGTCTCTAACTCTAAAGCAGTGTCTCTGTCTGTCTATCTATCTATCTATCTATCTATCTATCTATCTATCTATCTATCTATCATCTATCTATCATCTATCTATGCATCATCTAATCATCTATCTATATCATCTATCTATCTATCTATCTATCTATCTATCTATCTATCTATCTATCTATCTATCTATCTATCTATCTATCCCAATCTATCTATTCTAATCTATCATCTCTATTTTTCTCTCTAGCTCTAGCTGTGTGTCTCTTTTTCTATTTCTCTCTCTACAGCAGTGGTTCTCAACCTTTTTAATGCCGCGACCCCCCCAACCGATCGGAAGTCGAGGACTATACTCAACTGGTCATAAGTTGAGGACTACTCAACTGGTACAGCACCGTTTGCAGAATGGGACTTTTGGCGGGCTCAGCAGGGCAGAGACAGCCTGGACAATTCCTATGGGCTTTTGAAAGCCAATAGAATTAGACTCTATTCAAGAGAGTCTATTCTATTGGCTTTCAAAAGCCAATAGAATAAAAGGGAGTAGCACAGCTAAGGAAAAGGGGGAAAAAATGGCGGACTGTGTTGTTTGGCGACCCCCGTGAAATGGTTGTTTGACCCCAAATGGGGTCCCGACCCACAGGTTGAGAACCACTGCCCTAAATTCTGACATCCCCCCCTCCAGCAAAGCCTCCATCATACCCTCTTCTGAATGGCTCAGAGTGTACCCCGAAAAAGCTGAAGGTACCCCACAGGGAAAAGTGGGGAGGGTGCCCAACCCTGGAGCCTCAAAAGCATCAGGAAATCACACCTGGCCACTCCATTCATAGGGGGGAAAAACATCCATTCTCACCTCACTGCTGGCGAGCATGGACTGCTGCTAAGTGCAGTGTTTAGGGCAGGGCTTTTCAACCAGTGGTACGGGTACCACCTGTGGTACATTGGCACCTGGCAGGTGGTACACGACCATCCTAGAAAAGTGGTAGCGAGGGAGGGGAATGAGCTGAACCGGTGGCAGCACCGCACAAGCCTAAGCGAGAGACAGCTGGAGCTGCAGGGCTGTCAGGGCTCAGCGGAAGCGCCAGGATCAGTGCCGCTTTCCAGCTGATCGGCACTTCTTCGGGGTTGTCAGGGCTCGGTGGAAGTGTCAGGATCAGCGCCAGGCTCCAGCTGGAACTCGGCACTGATCCTGGCACATCTGCTGAGCCCAGAAGAAGCGCCGATCAGCTGGAATATTGCAGCCTCTCCAGGGTCTTGTGATTTACATTCAGATGCTTGGCAACTGATTCATATTTATGACAGTCACAGTGTCCCAGGGTCATGTGAAGTCACCAAAACGTGCTGCAACCACCCAGCAGACGGGGGGAATAAAAACCAAACACCCCCCACCCCACCCCAGCTGCCAATCCTCAACAGAAATGCTCACAACAATGAAAACCTCGGACAGGAGGAAGAGCGCCGCCGGGTGTGGCTTGGGGGGCACTTTTTTCAATGCCATTGTAACTTCTAACAGTCACTAAGCGAACTGTTGTAAGTCGAGGACTACCTGTAACTTTAACACTTTTTTCCTTTTTTTTTTTTTGGGTCGTCACGTTTTTGACACCTTGCTGGTGGTACTCGGATGTTGCCATATCCTAAAAATGGTACAATGGGTGAAAAGGTTGAAAAGCTCTGGTTTAGAGGACATGTTATAAAAGAGGGGGAGGGAAAGGGGGAAGGAGGGATCCAAGTGAAATCAGAGGTTGTGGGATCCTTGGGGAAAACCCAAACCGCTTGTATCTCAGAAGACAAAGCGGGGAGGGAAGGGAGCAGCAATGAAGCCACACAGCCTTCCTGGATCTTCCTGCTCTGCCTTCGGATGGGAAATTCCTCCTCCAGTTCAGGCATCTGAGCAGGAGTTGGTTGAACTCAATGGGTGAAATTGGGGCTGGTTACACAGACCACATGTTATAAAAGAGGGGGAGGGAAAGGGGGAAGGAGGGATCCAAGTGAAATCAGAGGTTGTGGGATCCTTGGGGAAAACCCAAACCGCTTGTATCTCAGAAGACAAAGCGGGGAGGGAAGGGAGCAGCAATGAAGCCACACAGCCTTCCTGGATCTTCCTGCTCTGCCTTCGGATGGGAAATTCCTCCTCCAGTTCAGGCATCTGAGCAGGAGTTGACTTTGAACTCAGGGCTCATTGGGGCTGGTTACACAGACCATCTCACTGCTGATTATCCGATTTTTTTTTTCATGGCAGCCACCCAAGCAGGGCGCTGAAACCATCGTTCCTAAGCACTTGCAATGTACCCAATTAACTCTGGATCTCAGATAGAAGTGTGTAGTGGGGTGCCACAGGGCTCTGTTCTGGGCACAGTGCTCTTTAACAGCTTCCTCAACGATTTGGAAGAAGGGATAGATGGGGAACTCATCAAATTTGCAGATGACACCAAGCTGGCAGGAATAGCCAACACTCCAGAAGACAGGCTTAGGATACAGAAGAATCTGGACAGACTTGAAAACTGGGCGCTATCTAACAAAATGAAATTCAATGGTGAAAAAAGTAAGGTTCTACATTTAGGCAAGAAAAAACAAATGTACAGGTATAGTATAGGGGGTACCTTGCTTAACAGTAGTAACTGTGAGAGGGATCTCGGAGTCCTAGTGGACAATCACTTAAATAGGAGCCAGCCATGCGCTGCAGCTGCCAAAAAAGCCAACACACAGTGCTAGGCTGCATTAACAGAGGGATAGAATCAAGATCAGGTGAAGAGTTAATACCACTTTACAATGCCTTGGTAAGGCCGCACTTGGAATACTGCATCCAGTTTTGGTCACCACGATGTAAAAAAGATGTTAAGACTCTAGAAAAAGTACAGAGAATAGCAACAAAGATGACTAGGGGACTGGAGGCTAAAACATATAAGGAACGGTTGCTGAAATTGGGTATGTCTAGTTTAATGAAGAGAAGGACGAGGGGGGACATGATAGCAGTGTTCCAATATCTCAGGGGCTGCCCCAAAGAAGAGGGAGTCAAGCTATTCTCCAAAGCGCCTGAAGGCAGGACAAGAAGTAACAGGTGGAAACTAATCCAGGAGAGAAGCAACCTAGAACTAAGGAGAAACTTCCTGACAGTTAGAACAATTAACCAGTAGAACAACCTGCCTCCAGAAGCGGTGAACGCTCCAACACTGGAAGTTTTTAAGAAGAGACTGGACAGCCATTTGTCAGAAATGGTATAGGGTTTCCTGACTAAGCAGGGGGTTGGACTAGATGACCTCCAAGGTCCCTTCCAACTTTATTATTATAATACTTCCTTCCCTTTCCACAGCAAATGCTCAGGAAGTTGCCCTCTTTCAGCGCTAATCCTGCCTTTTGTCAGCACAAGGAAACGTAGAAACCCAAACGCCATCCTATAAAGAAGAGTTTCCACGTTTCCTTGTGCTGACAAAATGCAGGATCAGCACCGAAAGAGGGCAACTTGCTGAGCATTTCCTGTGGAAAGGGAAGGAAGGATCTGAGATCCAGAGTTAATCTTTTGCATTGCAAGCACCTGGCAATCACTAGGTCCTGCCTTGTTCCGGGCAGGCCCAGTTTCAGAAACTGATCGAGGGCTATTTGAAAGGACCTGCGCAGCCCAGAGAAATGAAGGCCGAAGTCCAAACGCCCATTGCCTCCAGGATTGTCCTTCCCAGCAACAAGGCAAAGGCCTCCTTCTTCCTGCTCCTCCCCACAATTTCAGCAGCCTCTCAGAACTGTTGGGGAGAGCCCCAGATCCACTTCCAGCTCTGTGCAGGAGGTGGGAAAGCCTGATGGGGAAAAAAAAAGCTGGAAAAATTGGGGAAGGAAACAGGCCTTCTCATCTCTAGCTCTGTAGCAGATTCCAGAATACAAAAGGATCAGAGTTTTTCTCTATCTGAAGGAGAGAAGGGGAAGGGGTTGGGTTGTGTGTGTGTGTGTGTGTGTGAAATCTGACTCTGTGCATGATTCAGAACCTGCTTCTTTCCCTCGTGGGTTCAGCAATGAGAACATTTAATATTGACAGAGAAATTTAAAATTGAATTTGCTGCAGTGGAAATTTTCTGAGTACAGAAGCTATGGTGGGAAAGAGGAAAGGTTAACATAAACTTGCAGTGGTGCAATGCTGGCTGTGGAATTCTGGGAGTTGAAGTCCACATGCCTTAAAATGGTCAAGGTTGAGAAACACTGACATAAAGGAAGTAAGATAAACCATATAGGCAAAAATAGCTGGGTCTGAGAAAGGAAGAAGAGAAGCCACAAAAATATATAGGAAATAGCTAGCCAGGAAAAGACAGGTTGGAGAATAGGAAAATAAGCTGAATAAGGTAAGAGGAAAGGCACACTGAATTGAAAAGCAGGAAAAGACCTTAGTGTTTAAAATGGGGACATAAATATCTACTGAGTTTAAAATAATTTACATGTCTAATTTTTCTTATTCTTATTGTATATGTGAATATGATTAATATGTTATCAGGAAATGCGTATAGGCACGTGAGTGTAACCTCATAGTACCTCAGCCAATGGGGAAAGAGGAGGGATGTAGCGGCCGGTGATAGGGAATGAATAAAAGAAGGAGATATTTTGGGTTAAAACTTGGGAGAGAACCAAGCTTTGATAGCTTCTCTCCCCGCTTATTGCAACAAACCAGTGTTTCTCAACCTTGACAATTTTAAGGCATGTGGACTTCAACTCCCAGAATTCCACAGCCAACATTGCTGGCTGTGGAATTCTGGGAGTTGAAGTCCACATGCCTTAAAATTGTCAAGATTGAGAAACACTGCAATAAACGAAACAAAAGGCCTTCACTGTGTCTTGGCTGGTTATTGGTCAGGCGAGCTGGCCTCTGGTCACCAAGGAAAGTGGCCAGGAGCACATAACATCTGGGAATCTGCCTGAACAGGAGAATCCGGTGACTGCGATGCAACTTGCAAAATCCCAAGATCCCTTCCTGACTGTTGTGGGATGGTAATACTTGTTTACAAACGTGTTTAATTCTGCAAAAACAACGCCACGTTTTGGGAGGCGGGGCGGGGTTGGTGGGAGGGTCTGAAACCGAAGAAGGAGCCTCTTGGGGAGGCAGATCCCATAAACGGAAAAAAGATCCCGAAAGGGACTCACTGCAGCAGCTCTCCCGCAGGGCGATCACCACCAACACCAGAAGCAAGAGGGGCGCAGGGCGCAGAGCCATCCTGGCCGCAAAACTCAACCTGCGCCCCCCATTCCTTGAAATCCCGGGAAAAGAAGGAGGAGCTGCGGGTGACCAGCAACCCAAAGTGAGACGGTGATTGGCCGAGCTTATCCCCTCCCCCTCCCAAAAGCCTTCCAATTTGTCATCGCTGCTAGGCCAGGGCTAGGCAACCTGGGCCCTTTTATGACTCGTGGACTTCAACTCCCAGAATTCCTGAGCCAGCCATGCTGAGGGAGAGGTTTCCAAGCTGAGCCAGGCTGGCTCAGGAATTCTGGGAGTTGAAGTCCACGAGTCATAAAACAGCCAAGGTTGCCTACCCCTGCCCTAGGCAGCCATGCTGGCTCGGGAATTCTGGGAGTTGAAGTCCACGAGTCATAAAATGTGAGGGAAGGGAGAGGACCAGTTGTAAATGACTTTTTTCAGCGCCGTTGTAATTTCAAATGGAGACTAAGCAAATGGCTGTCATTTGAGGACCACCTGTATTATGCTCAATGCCAGGGGGAGGCAGCCTTGGCTGTTTTATGACTCGTGGACTTCAACTCCCAGAATTCCTGAGCCAGCCCTGGCTCAGCTTGGAAACCTCTCCCTTTCCCCTCAGCGTGGCTGGCTGAGGAATTCTGGGAGTTGAAGTCCACGAGTCACAAAAGAGTCAAGGTGGCCTAATCCCGTTTGCTAGGCAGACGTCCAGGCTCAACCCACGAGAGGGGGAGGGGGCAGAACTGCGGGGCTCAGAAAAGTGGGGAGGGGCGTAGGCAGGGGAGGGGCGTAGGCCAGTGGGTGGGGACTCTGCGCCCTCCCCCCCCCTCGCAAAGCCTCTCGCAGACGGAAACCAGGAACTCCAAGCGATCTTCACTTTGGATGAAATGAATTTTAATGCGGAGGAAAGCAAAGTTTTACATTTAGGCAGCAAAAATCCAGGGTGTGTGTGCAGAGGAGGCGAGACCTGGGCTCAAAAACAGTACCTGCGAGAAGGACCTTGGAGTCTTGGTGGACGATCGTTTGACCAGGAACCACTCTCTTGAGCTTGCTTGTTTTCTTGCAGACGTTTCATTACCCTAACTAGGTAACATCATCAGTGCTAGTAAGGAGTGCTGTTTGCTGTCTGTTCTGGGGTTTTGCCTGTCTGAGGGAGTGGGTGGGTGGGTGGGGCAGTCTTAGGGATTTTTTGGCTGGGCTGTTTATTGATGGGCTTTTGGGGAATTTGCTTTCAGACGGTCTCTCTGTGGTCCATCTGAACACAAGATCTCTGATCGTGCATATCCTCGCCCATGCAATGGAAAAAAATGGAATAAACCAGGGGTTTTCAACCTTGGCAACTTTGAAGACTTGTGGACTTTGCTGGCTGAGGAATTCTGGGAGTTGAAGTCCACAAGTCTTCAAAGTTGCCAAGATTGAGAACCCCTGGAATAAACCGAGATTTAAAACGTTTGTTGAGATTTGCAATGTGGTATTAACACAACTGACCTCATTGCAATGGGGAGGGGAGGGTTTGGGGCTATGCCGGCTCAGGAATTCTGGGAGTTGAAGTCCATGAGTCATAAAAGAGCCAAGGTTGCCTACCCCTGGTTTGGGGGAAAGAAAACAAGTTTAAATTAACTGCATTGAGCTCATGGTATCTTAGCCCCACGTGAGATCCTCTTTTTTTTTGTGCTCAGTTTAAAAGGTGAGCAAGGAAATGTTTTGTTTTTATGCGAATGTTTACCTTGCTTCTGCTTTAAAAAGCTGCGTGGAATCTCTAAAAAGCAATATTTTCCTTTTTTGGCCCCGAGGAGTCTGGGATGAGGCAGCCCTTTCTTGGTGGATGTTTTACAAAGCGTACAAAGTTCTAAGGAAGTTTTGAGGCTGGTCTTGTAAAGCAGGTAATAGAACATGCTAATGGCTAGAAGGCTGCCTTGCGGTTGTTAGTTGCGAAGTTGTGTCCGATCCATCGCGACCCCATGGACAACGTTCCTCCAGGCCTTACATAATTTTAAATATTTTTCAAAATGCCTATTGGAGGCAGCTGCAGAGACCTGGACTCTTTGTGGCCTTGCATCCTCCAAAAAGCATAAGAAAGAGCAGCCCCTTCTCACACATGCTCTGCCCCATCTGATCTCTCCTGTCTTCCGCTGAATTTTCCTACTCACAACTATGTATTGGTCTCTGTTGGACTTCATCTTGCTGGTTTCTTCCATTTTGGCTCATCAAGATTGTCTTGAATCACAATTCTATCTCCATTATTGTGGATCCTCAGCAAATAATTCCATATTCTCCTCCCTCTTCCAGGTCATTTATAGATTATGCTCAGCATTACTGTCAGCATCTGAACCTTTCTCATTTCTCTTTGCAGGAGACCAGTGAGGATGGGGCCATGAGGTCCGTAGAGAAGGGGTGTTCTTGGATCGGGACCTACCAACCTTTGGCCAGGATTCCGTTCCAGAGAATTTGGAAATTGTGGCCGAGTTGGAGAAGCAGCTTCCTGCACAAAGGATCAATCGATTAAGGAGAAATCAGCAGTGACGGTTATCCTTGGCCTTGACTCAGTGGGGAAACAAGTGACCCAGAGACCTCTTGGTTACAACTTTAAAGGTGAGTAAACAAATCTTGGTTAAATCTTGGTTTGGAGAATAAGCATATATTTTTTAATGTTTATTTGATAAAACAGTAATGCAGTAAAATTGGGTTTTGCTCCCAAGGTGCTGGATGAAGGCATAACTTACTTCCTTTGAGGAGTATACATTGAGTGCATTTTGTCAGCCAGTTATGAATCCATCTCGTAATGATGCTGTTTATCCCATATTTTTTATCTTGCCAAGGAATAGGCTATGGTCTACTTTATCAGTCAGCCGGCAATACAAACCGCCCTTTAATTGCTCCAAATTTTCCCCAAATGCTCCCACATTTCTGGCAAGCCTCCAAACAAAGGAACACACACACACCTTCAGCCACCTCTGGCTGCAAGTAGTTTCACATACAGTCTGATTAGGAGAGGAATTTACTCAAGGCCACGGAGATACCAAGGAATGACACATACATCATAAACCTAACGAGTCAGTGTGAATACATGCTTGCTTGAGCAGTTTCAAAAGGGAAGCCAAAATACAGTCCGAGATCTTTGAACATTCAAGCAACGTTGTCAGCCAGTCCAATGGTCAGAGTTTCCGGGTTTCCAAGCAGAAGTCACAGAACAAGAGATCAGCAACAACACCACACAACATTCCAAGGAATCAGCATTTGTTCCTGACAAATGCCCCTCCCCACAGCATCCATCTCCTTAAATCTCAATCCCCAGGTGTGCCTTGTGGAGAGGGGCGGGACGCTCTCCTCCCGAGTAGTTGAGCCTGCCTGTGTTGTTCCCTCCTTCTCTCCACTCTGTGCTCTAGGATCAGGTGGGGGTGGCCCTTGCTCATCGCCTGAACTCTGCCTCTCCTGTTCCTCCTGTCCCACTCCTGAAGGGCCCTGGCCTGCCTCGGCCTGCTCTTCCCCACATTCCTCTGAAACCACAGACACCTCTCCCTCACCTCCATAGGGTCCCGTTCCAGTTCATTTTTCTCCACAGATTCAGGCTCCTTCCATGCCCCAACACCTGCCTCACTGGCCCACTTCTGCGGCCGCTCGTGCGTGTCGTCCCTGGCCTCTGTTTCACCAGTAGAAGCCTCAGGAAAGGCCTCTACAACCGAGAATGGAGCTCCGGCTTGACGCGAAGGTTTCCTGAAGGCCTCTGCCGGTGAAACGGAGGCTGGGGGCAACATGCACGTCCACCTAGAGCAGCGGTTCTCAACCTATGGGTCGCGACCCCATTTGGGGTCGATCGATCATTTTTCGGGGGTCGCCAAAGAAGGCGATCCGCCATTTTCCCCCCTCAGGGGGCGCCGCCGCGCATGGGGGCCGCGCATGGGGCCGCGCCGCGCATGCGCATCGCGCCGTACATGTGCAGCACGTTTGTATGACGGGGGTCGCCGTCACACAAACGTTGAGAACCACTGACCTAGAGCTCCGTTCTCGGGTGCAGAGACCTTTCCTGAAGGCCTCTGACAGTGAAAAGGAGGCTGGGGGTGATGTGTGTGGGCAGCTGCAGAAGAAGCGGGCTGGCGGCCACACAGGCTCCTGTTGGGTGTGGTTGTTGGTGCCGCAGCTGCAAGGCGAGACTGTAAAAGACATCCGAGAATAAAACCTAATACGTGTTTTGGAGGCAAAAAATATATAAAACTGGGAAAAACAGATAGTTTTGCTGTTCCACTGATTCTGTCACTTGGTATAGTAAGTTTTGATCTGTTTTTGACAAACCCATGTTTGGCTTCCAGTAATACCTTTGTTTGTTTCTAGGCTTCTGCAGATCGATGGTTTTATTATCTTGCCCAGGATCTTCCTAAGTACTGATGTCAGGGTGATTGGCTTGTAGTTTCCTGGTTCCATAGTTTTCCTTTTTTTGTAGGAATTTACAAAATATACAAAATATTTCACGAGGAGCTCGGGATCAAGTAGTCATAATGGGAGGGAGCTCGTAAATGCAAAATCAGAAGAATGAAAAAAAAGGGAATCGGCAGCAGCTTTGCATCCCACTTCAGCAACCCCCAACTCATGGGTGGCCTGTGCTTGATCCCAGGACCACCCCCACCCCCGGGGCATCTCCACAACCATTGCCTTGGCTAGTGGTGGCGAACCTGTGGCACAGGTGCCAGAGGCGGCACTCAGAGCCCTCTCTGTGGGCACACACATCATCATCCCAGCCCCGCCACTCCCCATGGCCCCCTCACCAACAGCCCCCCGGAGGAGAATTACCCCGGGTGCAGCCTGCACAGAGCAGCGCAGCCAAGGACATGGCAGTCGGGCAGCAGCGACAAGACTCCGCCCTCACCAGCTGCAAGGTTATTGGTAGGGCAATATTGGAAGAAGGATTGTTTGCCTACTATAGAAGAATGGAGGCTTAAAGTGTCAAATTTAGCAGAAATGGCTAAGATTTCTGCTTATTTGAAGGATCACTCACAAGAAAGATACATTTCGCTCTGGAGAAGATGGATAGATTATATTCAGAATAAATATGGGACTAAAAAGTTCCATCTAGTTCAGTGGTTCTCAACCTTTTTAATGCTGCGACCCCCAACCGGTCGTAAGTCGAGGACTACTCAACTGGTGCAGCATCGTTTGCAGAATGGGACTTTTGGCAGGCTCAGCAGGGCAGAGACAGCCTGGACAATTCCTATTGGCTTTTGAAAGCCAATAGAATTAGACTCTATTCAAGAGAGTCTATTCTATTGGCTTTCAAAAGCCAATAGAATACAAGGGAGCAGCACAGCTAAGGAAAAGGGGGGGAAAAATGGCGGACTGCGTTGTTTGGCGACGCCCGTGAAATGGTCGTTCGACCCCAAATGGGGTCCCGACCCACAGGTTGAGAACCACTGCTCTAGTTTATGAGTAAATTTTAGAGTATTATTATTATTAATAGTTTATTATAGGAGAATTTTTATGTTTTATTATTATCTTTAGTATTAGTATTGTTCAACACTTTGGATATTGTATTGTTTAATAATTAGGATATTAACTTGTTTATATTATTATGTTTATTTTTAATTTGTTTATACTTGCGTTAAAGGGGAGTTAAAGCGCATTATGGACTTGGTTATTTATATAGTTGGTTAATGTTAGTTAGAGTATGATTATTATATTTGTAACCCTGTACTCAGCTCTGGGAAGTGGGGGAGGGAGAGGGGGGGGGTTTAGGGTGGGTGGGCTTTGGGGTGTATACTGTAACTTTTATAAAACTTTTCAATAAAAAAAAGACTCCGCCCTCGCGCCCCATCGCATACAGATGATGCTGTGGGGTGCGGAAAGAGGGCGTGGCCGCCATGACGCTGCTGGGCCGTAGAGGTGGTAGGTGGCCCTACCGGCAGGAGAGGCGGGGGCGGGGCAGGGGCGAGGCGGCTTTTGGGCACTCGGTCTCTAAAAGGTTCGCCATCACTGGCCTAGGCCTCCCTCCACTTAGGAACACTCAAGGTTACTTAATGATTGCAGCCAGAGTGAGGGATTACGGTTGTGAATGGAAGTAGTCACGTGACCCCCTCACCTAATGACTGTTTCACTGAACAACTGAAATTCCAGTCCCAACTGTAGTCATAAGTTGAGGACATTCCTCCTAGAGATGCGGGGGCTCCATAACTGAAAATTTTGTCTCAGGGGGGAGGGAATTGAGGACCCTACCCTGGGCAGAGGATGGGACTGGAAGACCTTCACGGTCCCTTCCGAGGCTAAGATGTCGTGATTTCTCAAACGGAAATATTATTCCCCATTTCTTTTTCTTTCTAACACCAGATAAAAGATTGTGACCAAAGATTTACCTGCGAGCCAACTATCTACAGACAGTAGATATTCAGCGCAAGGTAGCCAGCACCAGAAAGGATGGAGCTTGGGAAACTCTCGGATCCCCCGTCAGACACAAGCAGCACTCCGAAAAACCACGAAAGAACCCATGAATGCGCAGAGTGTGGGAAATCCTTTGCTCGCCGGTCCCTCCTTTTGACCCACAGGAAGATCCATGTGGGAAGCGGATCCAGTCAAAGTTTGGAGGGTGAGAAATCCTTCTCTGGAAAACACATGAAAGATCTCAGAAGCCCCCTCAGACTAAAACCTCATAAATGTGAGGAATGTGACTTATGCTTTGGTCAAAAGTCACACCTTGTTACGCATCAGAAAATCCACACTGGAGAGAAACCCTATCAATGTCTGGAATGTGGGAAAAGTTTCCGTCAAAAAGGCCATCTGGGGAACCATGAGAGAATTCACACAGGGGAGAAACCTTACAAGTGTTGGGAATGTGGGAGGAGCTTTTCTCGGCGTTCATATCTTTGGATCCATGAGAAGGCTCATGCAGGAATAAAACCTTACAAATGCTTTGAGTGTGGGAAATGTTTCACCCAGGGTTCAACTCTTCGAACTCATGCGAAAACACACAGAGGGGAGAAAAATGAGAAGTGCCTCGAATGCGGGAAATGTTTTTCCAGAAAATCATATCTGGTAGAACATCAGAGACTTCACACGGGAGAGAGACCCCATAAATGCCCAGAATGTGAGAAACGATTTATGTATTCTTCTGAACTTCGGACGCACCAGAAGAGGCACAAAGGAGAGAAACCCTATCAATGTGGGGAGTGTGGGAAAAATTTTCTTACACGAAGTGAGTGTCAGAGTCACGAGAGAGTTCACACAGGGGAGAAGCCGTACAAGTGTGGGGAGTGTGGGAAATGCTTTACCAAAAAAGAAAACCTTGGAATCCATGAGATACTCCACACAGGAGAGAAGCCGTACAAGTGCATGGAATGTGGAAAATGTTTTGCTCTAAAGGCATACCTTTGGAGACATCATAAAACCCACACAGGGGAGAAGCCATATCAATGCATTGAATGTGGAAGATTTTATTCTTCCACATCAGCCCTTAGAAGTCATGTGAAAATTCACACGGGGGAAAAAAACTACAAATGTTTAGACTGTGGGAGAGCATTTGCTCGGTCATGTCACCTTACAAGTCACAGCCGAATCCATACAGGAGAGAAACCATAAATGCTCAGAGTGTGATAAATGTTTTTCATGGAAAGATACTCTTGTATTACATCAGCAAATCCACACCGGAGAGAACATATAAATGTCTGAAGTGTGCGAAATGTTTTGCCCAATCTTCAGCATTTCGCATGCACATCAAAAGTCACACAGGAGAATGGCCTTACAAGTGTGTAGAGAAAACTTTTCACTGTAAATCACAACTAAAAATGTATCAGAAAATCCATAGCAGAGATAAACCTCTTCAGTTGTAAACAATGTGGGAAAACCTTTTTTTTTTTTTTTTCAAAAGTCACATCTTACAATTTACCAGGAATTTTACTCAGTGAGAGAGACGAAAACCTACAATTGTTTGGCCTTGGGGAAAATGTTTTTCCTAGTCAAGTAACCTCAAATCCCATCAGTGTACACCGTGAGGGACAAGGCTGTAAATGTTGGGAGTGTGAGGTTCACAAAGTGGCATTAGTATATTACCAGAGTGATTACACAAGAAGTTATAAGTGTGTGGGGAGAATATGTAATGTTTTGCAGAGTATAGGTAGTCCTCAACTTAGACCACAACTGGGAATGGATTTCCGGTCATAAATTGCTACAGTCATAAGGCAAGGCATCCAGATGTTTTTGTTAATTCTTATTAGGACTTTGCTGAGATGAGAAAAGGAGGGAGGGGTGGAACAAATGTACATCTGATTATTTTATTTATTTAGTGATAAAAGTGTTGATGTTGAATGTATGCTGGCTGAGAAAGAAAAGGGGAAAATTTTCTTACTATCTTTTTTGGAGGGATTTTTTTTTCACATTGTCTTTTTCAAATGTGCACGCATGCACATACAGTATATTCACCGATATAAGTGTTCAAAGTGTGAGAAAGCTTTTCATTGCAAATCACAGCTCAAAATACATAGGAAATTCCATAGTAGAGATAAATCTCTTCAGTCATGCACAATGTGGGAAACATTTTGTTCAAAAACATACCTTAGCATTCATCAGGAACTTCACACAGTCACAGAGGGGAAACCGTACAGTTGTTTGGTGTGGGGAAAATGTTTTTCCTAGTCAAGTAACCTCAAATCCCATCACAGAGTACACAATGAGGCAACAGGGCATCAAGTATTGGGATTGCAAGAAGGCTTGGCTCACAAAGCAGCAGCACTAATAACTTGCCAGAATAATTACACGAGAGAAAAGAGTTACAAGTGTTGGAGAGTGTAGATTATGTTTTGCAGAGCGCAGCTAGTCCTCAGTTTATGACTGCAATTAGGAACAGATTCCCGGTTATAGATTTACAAAGTCATCCCTTGTGGTACCCATGTGACAGGATCTGATTTTATGACATCCTTGAGGTCAGAAAGCAGTTCTAAGTAGAAAGAGATTCTTCCAATTTGCATTTTCTGCAACAACGGGCAAAAAAAAAATATTGCAAATTGTGATCCAATGGCTGCAAGATTATGGAGCTGGTGGTAAAAGCCAGCCGGTTGCCAACTGCTCATAATTGGTCAGATAACCTGGGGGGGGGGAGGGAAAACATTTTACAGTGGTGTGGAAAATCTGTTCCTTGAAATGAGACAAATTGTTGTCATACATTTGTGAGTCCCCACAAATGTAGCATGGAAAATGTTTTATCCTGAAATCTTTTCAAAAAATCCAAATCAGTTCATAATTGTGGGCAAAGTGAAGTGAGAAAAAGGTTCCCTGGCCTGGGGGTTATTTAAAAAAAGTTGTGATCTTGAAGGGGAAAATATTCTGCAGATGCCACTTAAGCCTTAGGGCAGTGGTTCTCAACCTTTTTAATGCTGCGACCCCCAACCGGTCGTAAGTCGAGGACTACTCAACCGGTTGTAAGTCAAGGACTACCCAAGGACTACCCAACTATTCAAGAGAGTCTATTCTATTGGCTTTCAAAAGCCAATAGAATAAGAGGGAGTAGCACAGCTAAGGTAAAGGGGAAAAAATGGCAGACTGCGTTGTTTGGCGACCCCCGTGAATTGGTCATTCGACCCCAAATGGGGTCTCGACCCACAGGTTGAGAACCACTGCCTTAGGGTCTCTTTTGCCCCCTTATCCACCCTCTGTCCTCTCGTATTCCCAGTGGAAGAGACCCAGGTCACCAGGTCTGAACTGGGACAGGAAGTCTTTTAGGATTGTAAAGAAAAACTTTTAAGCTTTCATGGAAGTTTGAACCGTATGGAAAGTCCGTAACCTTTTGGCCTGGGATTTTATTTTAAAAAATTTCAGGCCACTGTGCAGCCTTAATAAAAGCATTTCCACTATCCTACAGCCTGTTGTTGAGGTCTCCGGAGTGTACTTTTCCCACATTGTTCACCATAGTGGTGAATAATGTTAAGGGAGGGCTTAGCTCACTTCCTGGGCTGAAAGGGAATCATAGTTTAAGGTCGCCCTCTGATTCTGGGCCAGCGAAGTCCCAAAGCATCATGGCAGCTCCCAGCCTCTCCCTCCTGCCCCCCCCCTTCGACGCTCCCCCCCCCAGGGAAGTTGAAGCCGATTTATTTTGCAGCTACGCTTGCTTTATAAGAGAAATGGGATGAAACGCTTTGTGCAGAGGCTTTTCTGAGACAGGAATGAGAAGGAATTCCAGGTGACATTCTGGCTGAGTTATGAGGAAAAAAGAGGAAGGACGTGTTGACTGAAGAGAAGAAACTTGGAAATTATGTTTGCTTAAATGTGGCAACCTTGCATGGAGGAGGAGGAGGAGAAATCCCCTCCCCCCAAACATCCGGGGGGGGGGGAGGAATCTACAGGGGTAGGCAACCTTGGCTCTTTTATGACTCGTGGACTTCAACTCCCAGAATTCCTGAGCCAGCCTGGCTCAGCTTGGAAACCTTTCCCTTTCCCCTCAGCATGGCTGGCTCAGGAATTCTGGGAGTTGAAGGCCACGAGTCATAAAAGAGCCAAGGTGGCCTACCCCTGCCCTAGGCTATATAAATAACACTTAGAATAGCCCTTAGACCAGGGGTAGGCAACCTTGGCTCTTTTATGACTCGTGGACTTCAACTCCCAGAATTCCTGAGCCAGCCATGGCTCAGCTTGGAAACCTCTCCCTTTCCCCTCAGCATGGCTGGCTCAGGAATTCTGGGAGTTGAAGTCCACGAGTCATAAAAGAGCCAAGGTGGCCTACCCCTGGTCTAAGGGCTATTCTAAGTGTTATTTATATAGCCTAGGGCAGGGGTAGGCCACCTTGGCTCTTTTATGACTCGTGGACTTCAACTCCCAGAATTCCTGAGCCAGCCTGGCTCAGCTTGGAAACCTCTCCCTTTCCCCTCAGCATGGCTGGCTGAGGAATTCTGGGAGTTGAAGTCCACGAGTCATAAAAGAGCCAAGGTGGCCTACCCCAGGTTAGGAAATGCACGGGGGGGGGGCAGGTAAAGGAGTTGGGGGCTCCTGGCAGACTCTGCTTCAGTTCCCCCCTCCTCAATCCTAGAGACCCCCAGGGAAGGGGCTCTTGGCCAGTCCCTCCCTCTCCATCCTCTGTCAGGCTCCACAAACATTTAGCAGCGGAAGAGCCCTCCACATGGGAATGGAGTGGGGGGGGGGCATCAGAGTTTCCTGTCACTTTTCTGACTTCTTCCTTCCCGGGATTCATCGGAAAGCCACCTCCATCTGCTCTCTCGAGAGCACCTGCCCAGCTGCACTTCCAGGATCTTCGGATCCACTTAGGACTTCTTCCCTGCTCTTCCCACTGGCGCTCCCCCAACCTCGGCTGCACGGAAGACTCCGCCCCGCTTGGTTATAAGTGTGGGAAATGGTTATATATGTTTTTTCCGTGCTGTTGTGACTTCAAATGGTCACTAAGCAAATGGTTGTAGGCTGAGGACCACCTGCATCCTGACTGTCGGAAGCGTTTCACGCAGAGCCCAAATCTCCTCAGACGCTGGAATATCCACATGCACCGATTTCCAAATCACGTCCGTTGAGATTTCCAGGAAATCTAGAAAAAGGGGGGAAAGAGGGACCTGACTGCAGAGGAGTTTCACACAAAGCGGAGATATTTCCAATAGGCAGCTTGGTGCAGTGGTTAGGGTTAGCTTAGCCAGGCTAGGGGCAGAGGGCCTAGTGCAGGGGTAGGCAACCTTGGCTCTTTTATGACTCGTGGACTTCAATTCCCAGAATTCCTGAGCCAGCAATTCCCAGGAATTCTGGGAATTGAAGTCCACGAGTCATAAAAGAGCCAAGGTTGCCTACCCCTGACCTAGTGCAAGGGCAAAGCAGCTAGAGCAGTGGTTCTCAACCTGTGGGTCGGGACCCCATTTGGGGTGGAACGACCATTTCATGGGGGTCGCCAAACAACGCAGTCCGCCATTTTTTCCCCTTTTCCTTAGCTGTGCTACTCCCTTTTATTCTATTGGTTTTGAAAGCCAATAGAATAGACTCTCTTGAATAGAGTCTAATTCTATTGGCTTTCAAAAGCCAATAGGAATTGTCCAGGCTGTCTCTGCCCTGCTGAGCCCGCCAAAAGTTCCATTCTGCAAACGGTGCTGCACCAGTTGAGTAGTCCTCGACTTATGACTGGTTGGGGGTCGCGGCATTAAAAAGGTTGAGAACCACTGAGCTAGAGGGACTGACCGCCTTCTCTGGGGCTTCCCCACTGACTCTGCCTGTGGGAGGTCAGCAGGGAAGGCCACAAAGGGTGATCACACCTCAGTGCAGCTCTTTGTAATGTAGTAATCGCAAACCAGGCATGTAGCGCAAGTGGGGCTGTAATGCCTGCAACGTCTAGGATCAGCCATACATCCGTTTTTTTTTTTCAGAACCGTCTAAATTCTGAACGGTTGCTGGATGGACGTAAACTGAGGACTACTCGTACTTTAATCTAAACACTGCAGGGACATGTGGATAAGATTTGGGGCCCAAAGTTAACAATATTTATCTTAAAAGTATATTTATAATGTAGAGCAGGGGTGTCAAACTGCCGGCCCACAGGCTGGTTGTGTCATGCCGAAACTGCGTCCACTCCATTGCTGGCACTGGAAAAAAAGTCGCGATACGTCACGTGACGTTGCGAGTTTGACACCCTCAATGTAGAGTTTAGTGACTTCATCTTGCTCATTACGGTCGCTCAGCTTTAATTATGCTTTTTGTGACTGTGAGGATAAACTGTCGGAGGGAAGGGGCTGCAATCTCATAAAGGCCCAGGTATTTAAATATATAAAAAACCGGCAGGGCAGTGGAATTTTGCACCTGTTTTTGTGGAAGGTTCCAGAAGTGGGAGGTCACCACCAAGAAGGCCCTGCCTATTGGAAACAGCCCTGAAGGAGGAGCTGCTTTCCTGGTTAAGCAGCAATTCCCAAACAAATCATCACAAAGCCAACCTATATGTTTCTATCAGAGGTGTTCAACCTTGGTAACCTGCCCCACCTCCCCTACCCAATTCTTTCCAATTGAATGTAGCTGGTTATGCACCAGAACAGAACAGCCTTTCCCACTCTGGTGTTGAAGTCCCAAACATCTGGAGGACAGCAGCTGGGGCAAGGTGGCCAGACAGGCCAAACCGGCAGCAAACAGCACTCCTTACTAGCACTGGTGATGTTACCTAGTTAGGATAATGAAACATCTGCAAGAAAACAAGCAAGCTCAGAGAGCACCAAGGACCCCTCATTTCAACCCTGAGCTAAATATTCATTGATTTATTTTTCTTGAACTTATTTTGTGCTCGCACTTTTTGATTTTTCTTTATTCCCTTTATTCTTTCTTCCCAAAAAAGGACAACTATAGAAAATGGAAAGAGGGGCATATAACTAGAACAGAATACCACCAAATAGCCCAAATCTGCAAGGATGGAGTCAGGAAGGCTAAGATTCAGAATGAACGGCAAATGAACATCTTCAACAAATGCCAAAAATAACAACAAAAAAATGTTTCTTTTGATATATATGTAACAAGAGGAAAGAAAAGAAGTGATGGGTCCACTAATGGAGAAAGTGGCAAGAAGGTGACGGCGGGGGAAAAAAGCAGAACTGCTTAATTCCTTCTTTGTATCTCTATGTAAAAGGAAAAAATTAGTCCAGCATATCGAAAGCAGCAACGGAGGAGACAGGAGTGCAGATCAAAATAGGCAAGGAAAGGCCTATTTTCCTCTCCATTTTGGATGAGTTTACATCTCTGGGACCAGATGGTTTACACCTTGGGCACTGAAGGAAGCGGCAATTTGATCTTGGAACCACCAACTTAAATCTTTTAGAACTCCTGGAGAGGATTGGAAAAGAGCTGATGTGGTTCCAGTCTTCAAAAAAAAAAAAAGGGGGGGGGGAGTGGATCCAGAAAACTACAGACCAATCACCTTGCCATCAATATCGTGTGCATTAGATACCAATGATCTTCTGGTGAATGAAAACAAATTTTAATACCTGTGCAATCTGCAAGCCTGTTTTTTTACACCCATCTCACAGTGCTGAGCCGCAACACCCATCCTCCACATCTAGCACAAGCAGTAGAACTACGATAGGTGTAAAAAAATATATAGATGCTTGCAGTTGGGGATGATGGGCCCCAGATGGAAATAGACGCTGTAATGTTTGGGTTAATGCCTGACCATTGAACACAAGGTTGATTGTTTCTTTAGAACAGAGTTTTTCTCAAAGCTGGGAATTTTGAGCTGCGTGGACTTTGACTCCCAGAATTCCCCAGGGTGGCTGGGGAATTCTGGGAATTGAAGTCCACGCATCGTAAAAGGGCCCAAGTTTGAGAAACTCTTAATTAGATGATTTGAACATCTCGTTCAATACTTACATTCCATGGGTATTTGTGAATTACATTTGTTGAACTTTCACTTTCCTCTTTTCTTCCAGTATCTTCTGAGCTTTGTCCAAGGAGATCCAGAAAAGCATGATATTCAGTTCTCTGCCCCTACATTCTATACCACAAAACAGACCCCACGCCCAGGATCACCTGCTTATGAGATCAACTCCCGTCAGTCCCAACCTACTCCTAAGAAAATTGTCCCAAGGGTGCTTTTTCAAGAGGCAACTGGACATTCTTGGGTTTTTTTGTTGTTGTTGTTTTGAAGATGTTTCACTTTTCATCCAAGAAGCTTCTTCAGCTCTTGACTGGATGGTGGGGAAGGAAAGGATTTATACTTCTTGCAGACAGCTGGTCATTTGCATCCTTTTAGAGAGCCGTTGAGGCCACTTGGAGGTTTATCTGCATCTTCAGGGTCACCTGAGTAGGGCAAATGTGTGTGGAGTCTTCTTGGCTGCGGGGTTGTTTTTCTGCCCCGTGTCCCTTCACTGTGGAAGACAGGCGCAGGCTGTTGGGCATGAGTCTGCGTTGCCTGCATCGCTCTACTCACTGCATCTCACTTATTGTTTACACTACTCGGGTGACCCTGAGGACACAGATAAACCTCCAAGTGGCCTCAATGACTCTCCAAAAGAATGCAAATGACCAGCTGTCTGCAAGGAGTATAAATCCTTCCCTTCCCCACCATCCAGTCAGAGCTGAAGAAGCTTCTTGGATGAGAAGCGAAATGTCTTCAAAAAAACCCAAGAAAGTCCAATTGCCTCCTGGAATAACTGTGACCTAGATCAGTGATGGCAAACCTTTTAGAGACCGAGTGCCCAAAACCCACCCTCTCACCTCCGTCCCCCCTCTGCCCTGCCCACTGGGGCACCCACCACCTTCACGGCCCGCCAGATTACCTAGGCAGCCCAGCAGCGCCATAGCAGCCACGCCCTCCATCCTTGCCCCACAGCATCATCTGCACATCACGGGGCGCAAGGGCGGAGTCCCCGCTGCCTGGCTACCATGTCCTTGACTACGCTGCTTCGTGTGGGCTGCGCCTGGGGGGGTGACTCTCCTCTGGGGGGGCTGCTAGTGAGGAGCGGGCTATGGGAGGAGGCGGGGCTGGGGCGACGGTGCGTGTGCCCACAGACAGAGCTTCAAGTGCCACCTCTGGCACGCGTGCCATAGGTTCGCCACCACTGATCTAGATCAGTGGTTCTGAACCTTTTTAATGCCGCGACCCCCAACCGGTCGTAAGTCGAGGACTACTCAACCGGTCATAAGTCAAGGACTACTCAACTGGTGCAGCACGGTTTGCAGAATGGGACTTTTGGCGGGCTCAGCAGGGCAGAGACAGCCTGGACAATTCCTATTGGCTTTTGAAAGCCAATATTCAAGAGAGTCTATTCTATTGGCTTTCAAAAGCCAATAGAATAAAAGGGAGTAGCACAGCTAAGGAAAAGGGGGAAAAAATGGCGGCCTGCATTGTTTGGCGACCCCCGTGAAATGGTCGTTCGACCCCAAATGGGGTCCCGCCCACAGGTTGAGAACCACTGATCTAGATGATTTCCACAGACACCCTAAGAAAATTGTGTTAGGCATACACGGCACCCTTCAGGAGATTCTGCAAGGACGGAGGCAGTTGTGCGATCACACAACCCCAGGTCTCCTCTCACAGCCCCCACTAGGTCCTTTAGGGAAGAAGAAGGAGACTAGCCGACTGCAGACCATCTACCGAAAGCGAATTTATTGCGAGAAATAAGTGCTAATGATCTGATCCCGGACTTCCGCGCCTTGAGGGTCTTGCTCCACCATGTTGTCGGTCTCCAGGTACGGAGGCACGGGGACCTCAGTGTCCACCCCTTGTCCTCCATTGAGGATAGGCAGCTGGCGCCTCAGGGCCATGTTGTGAAGCATGGCGCAGACTACAAAAACCTTCGCCACCTTCTCCGGGCGGAGCATCAAGCGCCCCCCAGTGGAGTGAAGGCAGCGGAACCTCATCTTGAGCTGGCCGAAGGCCGTCTCCACCACCATCCGCGTCGTCTTGTGGGTGGCGTTGTAGCGCGCCACGGGCTCGGGGCCGTCGTCGGGGTGCGGGGTCATGAGGAAAGGGCGCAAAGGGTACCCAGAGTCGCCTGTGGAAGAGAGGGAGCAAGCGTCAGCAGGCAAGAGTTCAGGCAGCCCTCGAGTTAGGACCGTTCGTTTAGTGACCATTTGACATTTCACAGACGTATGACCATTTTTCACACTTACGACCACTGCAGCATTCCCCCGTGGTCACGTGATCAAAATTGGCAACTGACTCGTATTTATGATGGTCGCAGTGTCCTGGGGCCACGCGGTCCCCTTCTGCGACCTTCCGATGAGCCAAGTCCATGGGGAAGCCCAGATTCACTTAACAACCGTGTTACTAACTGAACAACCGCAGGGATTCACTTGAACAACGGTGGCAAAGAAAGGTCGCAAAATGGGGCAAAGCTCACTTAGCCGCTGTCTGGCTTACTAACAGGCATGCGGTGGTCATAAGTCAAGCCATCAGCCGTCGTTGCGTCATCCCTACGGTCATGTGACCAGAATTCAGATGCTTGGCAGCTGACTCGCATTTATGACGGTCGCAGTCTTCCCGGGATCACGCGATCCCCTTTTACAACCTTCTGACCAGCCAAGTCCATGGGGAAGCCCAGATTCACTTAACCCTGTGACTAATTTAACAACTGCAGGGTTCACTTTAAGAACGGTGGCAAGACAGGTCGAAAAATGGGGCAAAGCTCAAGGGACAGCACACTTGGCTTTACAATGCCTATTTCGGCAAGTGCGTGACGTGAATCAAGGCCTGCTTGTCCCAAAGGTGCTTTTTTCGAGAGGCAACTGGACTTTCTTTGTTTTTCCTTGAAGACGTTTCGCTTCTCATCCCAGAAGCTTCTTCAGCTCTGACTGGATGACGAGGAAGGGAAGGATTTATACTCCTTGCAGACAGCTGGTCATTTGCATTCTTTTAAGAGTTGTTGAGGCCACTTGGAGGTTTGTCTGTGTCCTTGGGGTCACCTGAGAGGTTCCACACCCATTTGCCCTACTCAGGGGACCCCGAGGACAAAGGCAAACCTCCAAGTGGCCTCAACAATCCTCTAAAAGAATGCAAATGCCCAGCTGTCTGCAAGGAGTATAAATCCTTCCATTCCCCCCACCATCCAGTCAGAGCTGAGGAAGCTTCTTTTTGAGAAGTGAAATGTCTTCAAGGAAAAACAAGGAAGTCCAATTGCCTTTTGAAAAAGCACTTTTGGGACACCCCTGACTTGGATCTCCATAGACATTTTCAAAGAGAAGCGTTCCCTTCCTTGACACCATCTTCCTCTCTGAAAAATCCAATTGAATAGCCTAAGCCGGGGGTAGGCCACCTTGCCTCTTTTATGACTCGTGGACTTCAACTCCCAGAATTCCTGAGCCAGCCATGCTAAGGGGAAAGGAAGAGGTTGCCAAGCTGAGCCAGGGTGGCTCAGGAATTCTGGGAGTTGAAGTCCACGAGTCATAAAGCGGCCTAGGCCTAGGCCAGAGATAGGTAACCTTGACTCTTTTATGACTTGTGGACTTCAACTCCCAGAATTCCTGAGCCAGCCATGCTGAGGGGAAAGGGAGAGGTTGCCAAGCTGAGCCATGCTGGCTCAGGAATTCTGGGAGTTGAAGTCCACGAGTCATAAAAGAGCCAAGGTTCCCCGCCCCTGGGCTAGGAAGAAGACTGCAATGTTCACAATGTCTGTGGAGAGTTGTCCCAAAGGTGCTTTTTTCAACTGGTCTTTCTTTTTTTTCCTTAAAGACGTTTCGCTTCTCATCCCAGAAGCTTCTTCAGCTCTGACAGGATGGTGGGGAATGGAAGGATTTATACTCCTTTGCAGACCGCTGGTTATTTACATTGTTTTATGCTCTATTTGCAAGGAGAATAATAAAAATAAATAAATATGATGATGATGCTGGAAGGGACCTTGCAGGTCATCCAGTCCAACCCTCTGCTCAGGCAGGAAACCCTACACCATTTCAGACAAATGGCCATCCAGTCTTTTTAAAAACTTCCAGTGTTGGAGCATTCACCGCTTCTGGAGGCAGGTTGTTCCACTGGTTAATTGTTCTAACTGTCAGGAAGTTTCTCCTTAGTTCTAGGTTGCTTCTCTCCTTGATTAGTTTCCATCCGTTGCTCCTTGTCCTGCCTTCAGGTGCCTTGGAGAATAGCTTGAGTCCCTCTTCTTTGTGGCAGCCCGAGATATTGGAACACTATCATGTCACCCCTAGTTCTTCTCTTCGTTAAACTAGACATACCCAATTCCAGCAGCCGTTCCTTATATGCTTTAGCCTCCAGACCTCTAATCATCTTTGTTGCTCTTCTCTGTACTCTATCTAGAGTCTCAACATATTTTTTACATCGTGGTGACCAAAACTGGATGCAGTATTCCAAGTGTGGCCTTACCAAGGCATTGAAGAGTGGTATTAACGCTTCACGTGATCTTGATTCTATCCCTCTGTTAACGCAGCCTAGCACTGTGTTGGCTTTTTTGGCAACTGCAGCACACTCCTGGCTCATATTTAAGTGATTGTCCACTAGGACTCCGAGATCCCTCTCACAGTTACGACTATTGAGCGAGGTACCCCCTATACCATACCTGTACATTTGGTTTCATGCCTAAATGTAGAACCTTACTTTTTTGACCATTGAATTTCATTTTATTCGTCAGCACCCAGTGTTCAAGACTGTCCAGATTCTTCTGTATCTTAAGCCTGTCTTCTGGAGTGTTGGCTATTCCTGCCATCCTTCCGTTCCCTACCATCCAGTCAGAGCTGAAGAAGCTTCTTGGATGAGAAGTGAAACGTCTTCAAGGAAAAACAAAGAAATTTCCAGTTGCCTCTTGAAAAAGCACCTTTGGGACAACCATGACCTGGATGACTGAGAACTTCCATAGACATCAAGGGCTGCTTGTACTTTGGGGGAATCCCCCCTTCCCACGTCCCAACCGTCCCCGCTTCAAAATGGACACCTCCACCTCCCCCCCCCGGAGGCGCTTACCCAGAAGCCACCCCTTCCCTTCCGGCCACGACTCCAGCAGCCTTTGCAACTGGGAGAGCTGGAAGATCCGAGCGTCGTGGACGCTCCCGGGGAACTTGGCCAAGACGTGGGTGAAGCAACCCGAGGCGTCGCAAGTGGCCTGCACGTTGAGGCTGTGGAAGTTGTGGCAATTTCGGTACAGCGCCGGCATGTCTGCGGGGGCTATGATAGGCACGTGGGTGCAGTCCACAATCCCAATGACATTGGGGAAGCCCGCGATGTCGAAGAACGCTTCCCTGGTCCGCCGCAGCTCCGAGTCGGTGGTGGGAAAGGTGATGTGCTCGTGGACGTGGCGCAACATGGCCTCCAGGAAGGCATCCAAGCAGCGGCTGACGGAGGACTGGGACACCCGCAGGTTGTCGCCCGTCATTCTCTGGAAGGAGCCGGTGCCCAGGACCTGCAGGGCTATCAGGACCTTCTGTAATGTCGGGATGTGCCGGCGACTCGCGGAGGCCCCGTCCAGGTACGGGGCCAGGAGAGTGCACAGATCCTGGATGGCCTGGCGGTCCAGCCGGAAGCGGGTCAGGCACTCCTCGTCGGACACCTGGAGCTCGTGGGTGCGCATCCGGATGAGGCGGGTCCGACGTGGAGGCCGTCGGCTGTGGAGCTCGAGGTTGGTGGCGTAGACCAGGTCCAGCAGGCCTTCGTCATCCGAGCTGCCCTCTTCCGGGTAGAGGGGGAGAGGGCCCCCCCTCCGGGGCTCCATCTGCCTGAGAGCTCCTGCAGGGCCACAAGTAGAGGAAGAAGACAAAGGAGGGCATCAGCTCATGTTATTTCCCGGATTTATATGCTGCTGAGTGTTATAGCATATTATTCATAATATACAGCATCTCTCTCTCCTATCATCCATCCATCCATTCATCCATTCATCTACCTACCTACCTACCTTCCTTTTATCTCTCTATCATCTATCATCTCTTTTTTCTGCCTACCTACCTAAGACATATCTGTCTGTCTATCTACCTAATATTTATACAGTAAATAAATATAAATATGCTGTTTTGAAGGCAAAGGGTGGTCACACCAAATATTGATTTGATCTGGATTTCTCTTCTGTTCATTTCTTTCCTTTTTGTTAATTGACAAAAATAAAATATTTAACACTGATATTTCTGAAAGCATTCTTAATTTACAGCATTTGGGCACAACTGCCTAAAACTTTTTCACAGTACTGTATATATACTCTACTCCACTCTAGATTCTACATTCTACATTCTCTATTCTATTCTATTCTATTCTATTCTATTCTATTCTATTCTATTCTATTCTATTCTATTCTATTCTATTCTATTCTATTCTATTCTATTCTATTCTATTCTATTCTATTCTATTCTATTCCTATCCTATTCCTTATTCCAGTGGTGGCAAACCTATGGCACGTGTGCCAGAGGCGGCATTCAGAGCCTTCTCTGGGCATGCACGCCATTGCCCCAGCAGAATTCACCAGAGCAGCGAGCACGTGGCGTTTGGAAGCAACAGGGCAGGAAGTGAGCAAGCAAGTGGCATTGGCCCCCGGGGATGCCACGGAGATGGCGAGGGACTGGCCCTGGCCACGCTCACCCAGTCTACCATGATCACTGCAGCCATACCCACCCAGTGGACCACGCCCCGAGGGCACCACAATGCTGATGCAGCCCTGGCACTTTGCGATAAATAAGTGGGGTTTGGGTTGCAGTTTGGGCACTCGGTCTCTAAAAGGTTCACCATCACTGCCTTGTTCTGTTCTATTCTGTTCTGCTTTGTTCTGTTCGCAGTAACTGAGGCTTTGACATTCTTAAGAACCTTTCATACTGTTCCTCCACATCATACTAAGACAGTCCTCAATTTACAATCATAACTGTAACTGGAACATCCATTGCTAACTGATGCAATTCTTAAACGAATAGTGCCCAATTTTATGACCCTTTTTTTGCTGTGGTCATTAACCGAATCACCGAGGTTGAATGAATCACATGGCCGTTAAGCGAATCCAGTTTCCCCCTTCGACTGTGTTTGTCAGAAGCCGCCCCGGGAAGGTCGCAACCAGCAACGACGTGACCCTGGGACACTGCAACCGTCATAAACACATTCCAGTTGCCGAGCACCCAAATTTTGATCATCCGACAATGGGAACTCTGCAAAGATCATAATTCCAATACTGGCCACAAGTCCACAAAAAAGAGCTACAATTCAGATTGACTCCAAGAACCAAACAAGACGGAGAAATCAAGATGGGCCATCCCATAACCAGGAGAATTGGGATGTTACCTAAATTGCTGTGTTCCTCTTCGTCAGTTTCTTGCTTAGCTTCTCTGAAAATAGGTTCTGGCACCGCGACGGACGGAGGCTGATCAGCCTCGGCTTCTGGAGAATCCGCGTTATCCATCTCAAACAGCCCGAGCACCTGAAACAGCAAAGATCCTGTTTCAGAACAAGATCGGGAACGTACGAAGAACGGTTGCAGGAATTGGGTTTGGCTAGGCTAGGACAGGGGTAGGCCACCTTGGCTCTTTTATGACTCGTGGACTTCAACTCCCAGAATTCCTGAGCCAGCATGGCTCAGCTTGGAAACCTCTCCCTTTCCCCTCAGCATGGCTGGCTCAGGAATTCTGGGAGTTGAAGTCCACGAGTCCTAAAAGAGCCAAGGTGGCCTACTGCTACTCTAGAGCAGGAGTGTCAAACTCAATTTCATCGAGGGCCGCATCAGCATTGAGGTTGCCCTTGGGGGGGATGGGTGTGTGTGGCCAGGGTGGGTGCGGCCTACTGCGTGGGCATGGATGGAGTGGGTGTGGCCTACTGGGTGGGCATGGCCAGCTCTACATCATTTGCGTCAAGGGTGCCTATGGGGGCCTGGGAAGGAGTGAGACAGATCTGAGGGTCTCTGGAAGAAGGGGGTGGGACCGGGGCAAGGGCCAAAGTATGGTCCATTTCTTCATTCCTCACAAAGGGTGACACCTCCCCAGCATGCACGCAGGCGGTGGGGCCGACGTGGCAGGGGCTGGTTCCTCGCTGTTTCCAGATAGCCTTGTGGAGCTAAGACTGAATGCGTTTCAGCATAGATGGCCACCACAAAATTGTACATTGGCTCCCGGCCGACCTGGGCCAGGGCCAAGGCAGCGGGGGGCCGTTCTCTCACTGTTTCCAGGATGGCTTCACGGGCCACATGAAACCACTTTGCGGGCCGCATCCGGCCCCCGGGCCTTGTGTTTGACATGTCTGTTCTAGAGAAATGAAGGACTAACGGTGACATGATAGCAGTATTCCAGTATTTGAGGGGCTGCCACAAAGAGGAGGTTCAACTTATTTTCCAAAGCACCAGAGGGCCAGAACAAGGAGCAATGGAGGGGGACTAATCAAGGAAAAAAAGCAACCTGGAATTAAGGAGAAACTTCCTAACAGGGAGGACAGTTAACCAGTGGAACAGCTTTGCCTTCAGAAGTTGGGGGTGATCCATCACTCGAGGTTTTTAAGGAGAAACTAGACATTCACCTGTCTGGAATGGTATATGGTCTTCTGCTTGAGTAGGGGGTTGAACTAGAAGATCTCCAAGGTCCCTTCCAGTTTTATTCTGATTGATTGATTGATTGATTGATTGAGGGACAGTTAAGATAAAGCAAAGGTGAACGTTATCCCAGAAGAGCAATCATTCCAGAGGCCTCCAAATAAGGATTAACAAATGACAGAAAGGAGAAATCAGCAACACGAATGGAGAAGAATGACAGGTTATCCTCAGTTAATGATGACCCCGTTTAAAAACCATTCAAAGTTACAACGCCATTGAGAAAGTAATTTTAGAACTTGGTCCATGGACTTAACAATCGTCACTGCATCTCCAAAATACATAATTGCTATTCGTGAGTTTCACAGCCAGCATCCAAGAAGCAAAACGAATAGAAAATCTGGCAGTAAAATACCTTCGGATAAAACACTGTGCTGGCTGGGGAATTCTGGGAGTTGAAATCCACAGATCTTGAAGTCACCCAGGCTGAGAAACGCTGGATTAGAAGACTCCATCTATTTAAGGGTTTGGCTTTGTTTTAGCCTCCATGCATTTAGCGATAAAGATTAGAAGTATAAACTATTACAAGAGGCGCTTCTCTGTTTCCTTTCACTCCTTCTAGAGAAGGGGTAGGCAACCTCTGCTCTTTTATGACTCATGGACTTCAACTCCCAGAATTCCTGAGCCAGCATGGCTCAGCTTGGAAACCTCTCCCTTTCCCCTCAGCATGGTTGGCTCAGGAATTCTGGGAGTTGAAGTCCACGAGTCATAAAAGAGCGAAGGTGGCCTACCCCTGTTCTAGAGCAATATTCTATTTATGGGTTATTTGATTGTTCAAATAACTCAAATAACAATTTGCATATTCCCGGTTTTGGGAGACTGATCAGCTAACATAAAAAAAAAAAAAATAACAGAGCTTAAAGTCACCAAGGTTGAGAAACATTGTTCTAATCCAGTGTTTCTCAACCTTGACAATTTTAAGGCATGTGGACTTCAACTCCCATTGCTGGCTGTGGAATTCTGGGAGTTGAAGTCCACATGCCTTAAAATTGTCAAGGTTGAGAAACACTGTTCTAATCCAAAGAAGCCTTTGAAGGCCCTCAATTCCAAAAGCATTTCTCATCCTCAGAGATCCCTCCTAAAAAAAAAAAAAAGGACTCCAAGAAAGTGGTTGGATATGAGATGTATGGTAAATAAATTTCATAAATAACAAATAAATAAATACAGAGACTGGCAAAAATAAGAGGGGAGGAAAGGCATGTTTCTCATTTCATTTAGTCCCTTACTGTTTGTGTGTGGTGGGGGGGGGGTTGATTCTCCAAGCTTCAACGTGCTAAAAAAAGTTTTTTTTTGAGGGAAAAAAACTGGGGAAAGACAGACTTCTTTTCCAGTTTTCCCACCATCGTTTAGTCACCAAGAGGAAACCTCAGCTCACAGGCTTTAAAAATATGGAATGAAGAATAATTTAACCCTAAATCCCACCTTTATAATGTGGAATCTGAGGTTAAGAGTAATTTGACTCTTAACATAAGGAACGGTTGCTGGAATTGGGTATGTCTAGTTTAATGAAGAGAAGGACGAGGAGTGACAGGATAGCAGTGTTCCAATATCTCAGGGGCTGCCACAAAGAAGAAGGAGTCAAGCTATTCTCCACAGCGCCTGAAGGCAGGACAAGAAGCAACGGGTGGAAACTAATCAATGAGAGAAGCAACCAAGAATTAAGGAGAACCTTCCTGACAGTGAGAACAATTAACCAGTGGAACAACCTGCCTCCAGGAGCAGTGAATGCTCCAACACTGGAAATTTTTAAGAAGAGACTGGACAACTATTTATCTGAAATAGTATAGGGCAGTGGTTCTCAACCTTTCTAATGCCGCGACCCCATAATACAGTTCCCCATGTTGTGGTGACCCCCAACCACTTATACATCACTGGGTGCCAGGGGCGTGGCCAAAGAAAAGGGGGAAAAAATGGCGGACAGCCTTGTTTGGTGACCCCCGTGAAATGGTCGTTCGACCCCAAATGGGGTCCCGACCCACAGGTTGAGAACCACTGGTATAGGGTTTGCTGCCTGAGCAGGAGGTTGGACTAGATGACCTCCAAGGTCCCTTCCATCATCATCATCATCATCATCATTAATTATTATATCCAATTACATCCACCCGAGCCATTAGAGCAGGGAGGAAGGGAATATTATGGGTCTCCCCTCTCGTAAGGAGAACTGAGGAAGCTTCTTGGATGAGAAGCGAAACGACTTCAAGGAAAAACAAAGAAAGTCCAGTTGCCTTTTGAAAAAGCACCTTTGGGACAACCGTGGCCTGGATGACTGAGAATCTCCACAGACACTCTTGTAAGGAGATACATCTGATGGGACCCAGCAGAAGGGCCTTCTCCGTGGTGGTGCCTTCCCTTTGGAATGTCACCCCCGCAGATATTAGACTGACCCCCACTTTGACACTCTTTCGCAAGGTCCTGAAGACTTGGCTCTGCCAACGGGCCTGGGGAACCCAGAGTAGAACGGAGCCCATCAAGTGGCTTGTTTGATTGCTTGTTGTCGTCATCATGTTAGGTTTTTTTATTGTTTGTAAGCAGACCATAGTCACCGACAGTGGGCGGGGAGGCAATATACAGTAAATACTTTGATTTAGAGTTCCACTCCTTCCGGCTTAATGGACTGGTGGGAGGGGAGTGGCCGGCAAGCGTGCACGCTTCACCCAACATTTCTGCAGCCCGCTTTCAAACGCCTCACGACCGCGACCCAGACGTTGGGGACCCCTGCTCTAAATCAGTGTTTCTCAACCTTGTCGCCTTTGAGATGCGTGGGCTTCAACTCCCAGAATATATATAATATCTCAGGGGCTACCCCAAAGAAGAGGGAGTCAAGCTATTCTCCAAAGCGCCTGAGGGCAGGACAAGAAGCAACGGATGGAAACTAATCAAGGAGAGAAGCAACCTAGAACTAAGGAGAAACTTCCTGACAGTTACAACAATTAACCAGTGGAACAACCTGCCTCCAGAAGCGGTGAATGCTCCAACACTGGAAGTTTTTAAGAAGAGACTGGACAGCCATTTGTAATGGTATAGGGTTTCCTGGCTGAGCAGGGGGTTGGACTAGATGACCTCCAAGGTCCCTTCCAACTTTATTATTATTATTATTATTATTATTAGTATTATTAGTATTATTATTATTATTATTATGGATCATCGCACAGTCAGCCAGATGTTCAGACTGGATTTGGCATTTTGTCTACCTATCGAGTCCTTACCCAGGACCTGGGATAGGCAGATGTGGAAGTTTGATGGTATTACAGATATCGTCGCAGGATGGAAGCAGTTCCTAATAAGGCCGCCTTTTGCAACTGACTAATAGCGAATTTGTCAATGCCAATGGTGTTCAAGTGGTGCTCCAGTTGTTTTGGGATTGCACCCAAGGAGCCTATTACTATTGGTATTACCCTTGCTTGCTTTTGCCACAGTCTTTCTATTTCTATTCGTAGGTTTTTGTATTTTGTTATCTTCTCCAGTTCTTTCTCTTCTATTCTGCTATCTCCAGGCACTGCCACGTCCACTATCCAGACTTTTTTATTTTTATTATTATTATTATTATTATTATTATTATTATTATTATTATTCCCCAGCCAGCAACTGGGAATTCTGGGAGTTGAAGTCCACGCATCTCAAAGGTGACAAGGTTGAGAAGCATTGCTCTCCAAATCAGGGATGGGGAACTATGGCCCTTTTATGACCGGCTCAGGAATTCTGGGAGTTAAAGTCCACAAGTCACAAAGGGGCCATAGTTACCCTCCTCTGCTAAATAAATAAATCCCAAATTGTTCGGGAGCAACAACACAACTCAGCAGGTGCCAGCTGGACTTTTCCGGAGCCTCTCTGGAGACTATGACCCAGGGTTTAATGGGGGGGGGGGGAAATCTAGAAGGACTCTTATCAAGTACCCTGCTCTACATCTTCCCCTCCCCAAACCCCCCTCCCGAAAACCACGTTCTTACTTGCTGTTCTTTCCTCTCCACTTCCCGCTGCATCTGCAAGAAATCCTCAGCCAAGGAAGCCGCCTGAGAACAGCTCTCTGGTTCGTGTTCCCGCACCCAGCTCTGGACCTCCGGGGGCAGGATGGCCAGGAACTGCTCCAGGATCAGCAGCTCCAGGATCTGCTCCTTGGTGTGTCTCTCCGGCTTCAGCCACCGGTGGCAGAGGTACCAGAGCTGGCTGCACACCTCGCGGGGACCTTCGGCCTCCTGGTAGCGGAAGTGGCGGAAACGCTGGCGTTTCATCTCCATGCTGGCCGAGTCGTCGCCCAGTACCTCTTCCTTCACCTTGACCATCCCCGATTCTCCAATCTGTCCCGCGTCTAAAATGTGACGGGGCTCTGAGCTCTCCTCGCTGAGGACGACGGGCTGCCGGCTGGCCCGGCCGCTCTTGGGCCACAGGCGGGGGACTGCCGGCCCCTCAGTGGAGGGAGAGAATCTTTGCCGGGCTTCTAACTCCGTGGGGCGCAGTAGATTCCTCCACCCCGAACGAGGGGAACGGGCGGCGTTGTGATGCTCTTTCTGCTGGGCTGTCCTCGCTTTGTGGAGCCTTTCGTTTTTTTCTCGAGAACGGCGAGAGGCCGAAGCTTTGCCCCTCCATCTCTCCACTGGATCCGGCGTTTCGGATTCCTCTTCTTCCATTTTTTCTTCCCGGGGAGCTCCTTGCTCTGAAGATGCTTGGAACTGAAGGGTTGAAGTCGACCCGCGTTTTGCAGACATCCCTGGAAGAGGCTCGCAAATGGCCTTCTCTCTCTCTTTCTCTCTCTCTCTCTCTCTCTTTGCAAATGCAAGAGATTCGGGGAGGCGCTGTCTCAAAAGTGCACCCTGAGTCTCCAAACGAATGAAACCAGGGGTTGATGAAAAGGTCTTTTACCTGAAGAATGGGAACAAAAGCAGAAGGGGAGGGGCTTAAGGATTCCTCGCCAATTTAGTCACCCCCAAATCTCTGTTGGAAAGAAGTCAGGAAAGAAGTCAACACAGCAAGGCTGGCGGGGGAATTCTGGGAATTGAAGTCCACACATCTTAAAGTCGCCAAGGTTGAGACTAGGGCAGGGGTAGGCCACCTTGGCTCTTTTATAACTCGTGGACTTCAACTCCCAGAATTCCTATCAGTTTACTCCGGATCCGCTTCTCCCACCTCTGTTACTTTTATTTTTACAAGAACTGAGGTCAGGTGGACCAAGGCGGTCATAGAGTGGATGATAAAAAACGCCCATGAAAGAGACCTAAAACAAGATGGCTCTGACAACAAGAATTGCAGGCCCAATTGGCAAAAGAAAGCTCAGGACCGTATTGATTGGAAACGTGTGGAAGAGGCCTTCATCCTGCAGTGGATAGACAATGGCTAAAAAAGGGGTAGGCCACCTTTGCTCTTTTATGACTCGTGGACTTCAACTCCCAGAATTCCTGAGCCAGCCATGCTGAGGGGACAGGGAGAGGTTTCCAAGCTGAGCCAGGCTGGCTCAGGAATTCTGGGAGTTAAAGTCCACGAGTCATAAAAGAGTCAAGGTTGCCAACCTCTGGACTCAGGAGACAAACTTCAAGCAAAAAGCAATATCCTGATCAAGGAACTCTCAAGGAGAAAGCCACACCCTCGCCAACATAAGCAGTATATAAATAAGGAACAAACCCCATTCTCCCTCGCCCTGATGATGCTACCTAGTTGGGTAATGAAATGTCTGCAAGAAAATACCAAGCTTGGAGGGCACCAAGGACCCCACAGTTCAGCCATGAGCTACAGAAAGTCTCTTCAATCGAATAACTGCATACTACCTTTTCCCCTCCTCACCAACTTTTTGCAGTGCTGCTAAAAAGTTGTGATAGACTTAGCAACTCCTTTCTCAACCCCACATGCATAGCTGGTCAGGTCAAACCTTGGACATTTTCTCTGAAAAACATGGCTTCAACTAATGTGTTACAACTCATTCCCTGCTCAATTTCCCAGAGGAATGAGCTGACCTGCCAGGATAATAATAAATTATCAACAATGAAATCGCAAGGTATAGACATTATAGATAGATAGATAGATAGATAGATAGATAGATAGATAGATAGACAGACAGATGAGAAAGATAGATAGATAGATAGATAGAGAGACAGACAGACAGACAGACAGACAGACAGACAAGAAATAGATATAGAGATAGATTAGACAGACAGACAGATAGATAGAGACAGACGAGAAATAGATATAGAGACAGTCAGAGACAGACAAGAAGATATAGAGATAGATACTGTAGATAGACAGATAGATAGATAGAGAGTCAGACAGACAGACAAGAAATAGATATAGAGATAGATAGATAGATAGATTAGATAGAGACAGACAAGAAATAGATAGAGATAAACAGATACTGTAGATAGATAGATAGATAGATAGATAGATAGATAGATAGATAGATAGATAGATAGACAGACGGACGGACGGACAAGAAATAGATATAGAGATAAATATACTGTAGATAGCTAGCTAGATAGCTAGCTAGAGACAGATAGAGACAAAGAGACAGACAGAGTCCTTGACCTACCACAATTCATTCAGAAGTTACAACAGCGCTAAAAAGTGACCCATGAACGTTTTCCCCATTTACAACGGTTGCAGCATCCCCATAGTCATGTGATCAAAATTCAAACACTTGACACCTGACTCATATTTATGACTGCAGTGATTCATTTAACAGCTCTGACAACAAAGGTCGTAAAATGGGCAAAACTCACTTAACAACCCTCTTAGCAACAGAAATTTTGGGCTCAGTTGTGGTCATACGTTGAGGCCTACTGTTAGATAGATAGACAGATAGACAGATAGATAGATAGATAGATAGATAGATAGATAGATAGATAGATAGATAGATAAACAGACAGACAGATAGACAGACAGACAGATAGATATGGATGGGAGGATAGACACCTAGCACCTGCATTTGCAGGACAGGCTAATCTCTGTTTTAATCCCAGTTAATGGGTAACCAGAAGAAGTATGCTATAGGAACCCATCCATTGAATGACACACAGCCCCGAATTTGACCAGCTTGTGGCACAGCTTTTCTCTGGTTTTTATAACTAACATGCAAAAAGCTGCTAAACAATATGCGAGAGAGCATCAATCCTTGCAGCACAGTTCAGCCCATTGGTAATGGGAACTTACCTCGTTTACATACCCTGCATGCAGGCTCCTACGCCGAAATCTGACGTTTTCTGGTCATTCTTACGAAGTTCACAGCTGGAAAAGGTGCATACACCAAAATGTACAGATTAGAACAATGTTTCTCAACCTTGACAACTGTAAGATGTGTGGACTTCAATCCCAGAATTCCCCAGTCAGCATAGGAAACACTAGGTTAGAAAAAAAAAAAACAACCCTTGCTGCAAAGATCAAAACCCACAAAGATGGGCGCCGATGGGAAACCTGCAGTTCCAACAGGTCAACCTTGGAAGACGTTACCTAGTTTGGTAATGAAATGTCTGCAAGAAAAACCAAGCTGAGAGAGCATCAAGGACCTCCACAGATCACCTATTCTATTTATAGCCTACAGTCGAAAATCGCCTGATTTAACAGCTTTTCAGACCTTAGGACAGGGGTAGGCCACCTTGGCTCTTTTATGACTCGTGGACTTCAACTCCCAGAATTCCTGAGCCAGCATGGCTAAGCTTAGAAACCTCTCCCTTTCCCCTCAGCATGGCTGGCTCAGGAATTCTGGGAGTTGAAGTCCACCAGTCATAAAAGAGCCAAGGTGGCCTACTCCTGCCTCAGGACATGGTGGGACATCCATCCATCTTTTATTGTCACTTGATGTCCTCCACAATATTGCTTTTAAGAACTGCTTAAGAACATCCCAGTGGTGGGATTCAGCCAGTTCGCACCATTTCGGTAGAACCGATAGCTAATTTTGGGTTGCCCAGGCCCAGAATGGATTTCCGGAAGCAACATCCACACAGAGAACCGGTTGTTCACATATTTTAATCTCACCACTGGAACATCCTCCAGGGTCAGTCAAACTGGGATGGATTATGAGTATAAATAAATAAAGGTTATAGCAATAATATATAATTTCCAATGTCACCATGCCGAAGAGTAGGAATGGACTCCCTCAAAACGTCTCTTGTCACCGCACTTTAAACCTCCACATCGCACTTGTGAATTCAACACCACGGCATACTTGTGTATTCGGGAGTAGCACCAGAAATTTAAAAACAAGCATATTCTGCCTGAATTATTAATAACAGAAAGGCCCCTTACAGGCAATTCTCAATTTAAAAACCGTTCCCTTAGTGACCGTTTGAAGTTGCGACAGCATCGAAAAAAAGAAATTCCCGATCATCCTTGCGCTTGCAATTGTTGTAGCGTCCCACCGTCGAGTGATCAAAATTGGGGAGCTTGGCAACCAATATGTACAGGTAGTCCTCGACTTACGACCACAATCAAGCTCAAAATTTCTGTTGCTAAAGGAGATATTCATTAAGCGAATTTTGCCCCATTTTACACACCTTTCTTGCCACAGTAGTGAATCACGGCGGCTGTTAAGTTATTGACACGGTTGTTAAGTGGATCCGGCTTCCCCATTGACTTTGCTTGTCAGAAGGTCGCCAAAGGGGATCACATGACACCCCCCCTCGGGACACTGCAACCGTCATAAATATGAGTCAGTTGGCAAGCATCTGAATTTTGATCATGTAATCATGGGAGATGCTGCAATGGCCGTGTGAAAAAAAGGGCTATAAGTTGCTTTTTTCAGTGCTCTTGTAACTTTGAGCGGCCACTAAGTGAACTGTTGTAAGTCGAGGACTACCTGGGGTGCAGCATCCTGGGGGCACATCTGCGATCTCCCCAGCCAGCTTCCCACCAGCGAAGTCAATGGGGAAAACGGATTTGCTTAATGATCGCACGATTCATTTGACCACTCCAGTGGTCTGCTTAGCCACCATGGCAAAAGAAGTCACAAAATCAGGTGTGGCTCACAATCTCCTTGCTTAACAATGGAAGCCGTCACAGGCTGAATTCTACCTGTCTTGGAAAAAGGCACGGGTGAGCTGTTTAAAGAAGCATTCAGGAAAACACCTGCAAGCGCTGATTTTGACTAGATTTGTTTTTTGCTTTAATAAAATGCAAATTATATATATATATATATATATATATATATATATATATATATATATATATAATATATATATATATATATATATATATATATATATATATATATATATATATATATATATACAGGCCACCACAGAACACATCTGAAACCCTTTTAGGAATTTTGATCCCTTGGGCTGTGTGTGTGTGTGTGTGTGTGTGTGTGTGTGTGTGTGAGACCATTGTTATGTGCTCTCCTTAGAAAGCAGGTGGCCCATTTGGTAATTTTTTAATTACCGTCCCTGGAGAGTAAGCCGCTTAGAGTCGCATGCAACAGTAGTAAATTATTGGAGAAATTCATTTTTCCACAATTTCAAAGCTATTTGCCCATCCTTACTATTTACTATCCCTTTGTTCAACTTAGGACCTCTTTTGCAACGCTGGATTTCAACTTCCAGACCACAGATGGGGGGGGCACCAAGTTGATAACGGCAGCCCACCACAACCTGATTTGTGGCAAAAACTCCTGGTTCCTCCTGAATCGGCCCCCAACGAATCCCACTTGGGCTTTACCAGTGAGTAGAGTTGACTTTGGTCAGGTTAACGTGCTAGCGAGAATTTTCCACTAGAGTCGTTGCTGGCTTTGGAAAGAGCCCTTTGTAGGAGTCAGGTGGAAAGAGCAGAAGATCAACTGATCTACAGTACGGTAGATCCGGGGGATCTCCAAGGGGTTGTCCAGAGCAACTGAAAAATACACGGCCGACTGCTAGGAACCTTAATCCCAGACAACAATGGTCGCAACTCCGACATCACTACAACCAGCAGCTCTCCGGATTCGGCTTTCCCTCCTATTCTCAAGTGCGCGTCCGCTCGGCGACATCTCCGAGTCTGATCGTCGGAAAAGTAAAAGTCGATCCGGACAGCTAAGGCGTCCGGAGCCCGTCCATCCACTCCCCCCCCGTCACCTCTCGCAACGCAAACTCTGCCTCGGGGCTTCCTTTTCTCCGTTTTGTTTTTGTTTTGCCCCGGGACTCCCTTCGGCACGGATTGCGAGCTTTCCAAATCCGCGAGGAAATCCAAAAAGATCCCGCACCTCCCTCCCCCCCCCGCTTGTCTCTCTCTCTCTCTTCCCCCCCCCGGGCAGAAAGTCGGCGCAAGGCGATTTTTCGTCCCGGCTCCAATTCCCTCCAGGATCCAGGCGCCTCCTTACAGGAGGCGATCCCTAACGCACAAAAGGTCCAGGCGCGATCCGGTGCAAGGCGCTCTCCGCCTTCCAGGAGCACGGAGCAGCGGGGGGGGGGGAGAGGGAAGAGAAGAAAACAAGGAAACAAGAGGGAGAGAAAAAAAGGGAAAGCTGGCGGGTGGTGGTGGTGGTGGTGCATGGGGATCCCTGCCTCCCCGCCTTGTCCTTGACTCAGCCATTGTCCTGTGGGGAGAGGGGGGAGGCCATGCTGGGCTGGGAACCGCCGCGCAAAACCTCCTCCCTGGCCGCCGCCGCGATCGGCGTCTCGGAAGCGGGGTGGGGGAAAAGAAGCAGCCCGGTTCAGTTTACTCCGGATCCGCTTCTCCCGCCTCTTGTTACTTTTATTTTTGCAAGCGAGCGGGGGAAGTTCCCTTCTGTTGCAAACACCTCCCGCCCTCCTCGCTCGCTCGCTTACCCACCCGGTGCATCCTCCGGCACGTTTCTTCTCCTCGCTCGATCCACCCTCCCCCTCCTTCCCCCTCCCCCCAAAAGGCAAGAAAGCAAAACGAGAAAAAAAAGGAAAACAACTCGGATCCAGTCGGCAGGGCTCTCGCTCCCCTCCCATCAGAAAGAGGGGCCTGGGCTCTTTCAAAAGCCTCTCGAAAGCTCAAGTTTCTCGTCCGCTCTGGGAAACGCGGCCCTCTATCGGTTTAACCCGTCCGGCACCTCCTCCGGAGCAAAGGATCCGCTCCCCGCGGCTTCTTCCGAAAGGAAACGACGGCCGATCCCGCCCGATCCTGCAAGGGAACCCGGACGTTTCGGGGGGTCGGAGCTGGTGCGTAAAAGCGCAGCCCCGCGGAGCGCGCGCTTGGCGCGGGGATTTTAAAAGGCTTTCCCCCCCCCCCCCAAAAAAAATCCCGGCTTTAAAAAAACAAAACAAGAACCGGGAAGGGCGAAGAAAGGGGCGCAGGAGAGGGTTAACTGGAGGTGGGCAGGACTGACATGTTTATTTAAAAAGAGAGCGAGCGATCGGTCGAAGTCGAGGAGGCGGAGGGCGAAGGATTTAAGGAGGGGTTTCCCGGCCAGACAAAGCTTTCCACTGAAAAAGCCAAAGTCCGCCGAGCAGACTTAGAGAGAGAGCGCGCGAGAAAGGGATCGACCGACGCGGAGGGAAGGAAGGAATCCCCCCCCCGCCGGAGATCGCGTGCACAAGAACAATGTGTGTGTGTGTGTGTGTGTGTATCTATGTATGTATGTATGTATGTATGTGTTGGTGTGTGTATGTCTTTGGTTATTCGGGTTTTCTCCCGCGTAAAAACCTCAGAAAACATTATCTATCTATCTATCTATCTATCTATCTATCTATCTATCTATCTATCTATCTATCTATCTATCTATCTATCTATCTATCTATCTATCTATCTATCTGTCGGGTTCTGAGAACAAAGAATCCGGTTGGGGATTCTTTGAGGACCATAAGCGCGGAGAGACACGCCTCCCGGCTTTCAGGGTGGCAAAGCCGAGGAAGGTCTTGGGGTCAGTATTTTAAAATAAAAATACTGTTTATTATTATTATTTTTTTATCCTGCCATGATTATACAGTAGGTAACTCAAGGGGATGAACATAGCTAGAGCACTGCAACCAATTTTGGTCTCCCCACTATAAAAAAGATGTTGAGACTCTAGAACAGTGGTTCTCAACCTTTTTAATGCTGCGACCCCCAACTGGTCGTAAGTTGAGGACTACTCAACCGGTCATAAGTCGAGGACTATTCATCTGGTGCAACACCGTTTGCAGAATGGGACTTTTGACGGGCTCAGCAGGGCAGAGACAGCCTGGACAATTCCTATTGGCTTTTGAAAGCCAATAGAATTAGACTATTCAAGAGAGTCTATTCTATTGGCTTTCAAAAGCCAATAGGGGAGTAGCACAGCTAAGGGAAAGGGGAAAAAATGGCGGACTGCATTGTTTGGTGACCCCCCCCCCCCCGTGAAATGGTCGTTCGACCCCAAATGGGGTCCTGACCCATAGGTTGAGAACCACTGCTCTAGAAAAAGTGCAGAGAAGAGCCACAAAGATGATTAGGGGCCTGGAGGCTAAAACTTATGAGAATATGGTTACAGGAACTGGGCATGGCTAGTCTAGTGAGGAGAAGGACTCAGGCGAGACAGGATAGCAGTCTTCTAATATTTGAGGAGCTGACACAAAGAGGAGGGGGTCAATCTATTTCCCAAAGCACCTGAAGGCCAGACAAGGAACGGATGGAAACTGATCAAGGAGAGATTCAACCTAGAAATAAGGAGAAATTTTTTGACAGAACAATCAACCAGTGGAACAGCTTGCCTTCAGAAGTTGTGGGAGCTTCATCACTAGAGGCTTTCAAGAAGACATTGAACTGCCATCTGTCAGAAATGGTGTAGTAGGGTCTCCTGCTTGGGTGTGGGGGGGTTGGACTAGATGACCTACAGGATCCCTTCTAACTCTGTTATTCTGTTCTTCTGTCATTCTCCTAGTTTCCTCACAACCATGGTCCTGTGAAGTGGGTGACTGGCCCAAACTCACCCAGCAGTTTTTCATGGCTAAGTTTGTTTGTTTTTTTATTAAAATTGTATGCCTCCAATCTCCACCAAATGACTCTGGACAGCTTACAATACCGTACCTAGCAGAATGAAACAATTATAACAGGCATGTCACACTGCGGGCCCATGGGCCGGATGCGTCACTCCGAAACTGCGCCTACTCCATTGCCAGCAATGGGGTGAAAAGTCACGATATGTCGCACCTCACGTGACGTCACGAGTTTGACATGCCTGAGTTATAAGATGAACACATTAAAACATTGGACATTTAAAAGCTAAAACGTTAATGTTAAAAAACGGATCAAAACCAATGCATAGACAGGGTGGAGGCGAGTCTATAATATTATATACATATTGTATGCACACATATACAAACTTATACATGTTCTGTCCACCCATGACAGCAGAATACAGACAGTTCCCAACTTACAGCCATTTGTTTAGTGACCATTCAAAGTTGCATGGCACTGAAAAAAGTGACTTATGTACATTTTTTCATTCTGAACTACAGTTGCAGCATCCCCAGTCACGGGACTGAAATTTGGATGTTTGGCAACTGACTCATATTTATGACCGCTGTTGTGTCCCCAGGTCATGTGATCAAGTTTTATGACCTTCTGACAAGCAAGGTCAATGTCATGTGTTGAGGACTAGCTGCAGCTGAGGAAGAAAGCCAGACCTTTGGAATTTCCTCCTGTTTGCTATGCATTATTAAGAGGAGGCCTTGTACCCTTCAGATGTTCTGCTGCACTACGGTTCCCATCATCCCCAGCCAGCCAATCCCCTTTACCATCACCACCGAT